ATCTGGATTTATTTCCATTCATTCATTGCAAGTCAGAATCCATTCTCTTCATTTTTATTCTTCCATGCTGCGACACCTTTAAAATCCATGGTACATTTAACTTTTGATTTTCATTTAATGCCTTTTAAAGTGATCTAATGCAGACAGATTACAGACAGTAAGGGTTACTGTCCTTTGGTGGAAATACCCTATTTAATAAAATATTGTAAAACAGATTGGCCACTCCATGCATTAGAAAAAGAAAGATATATTAACTTTAGATGCAGTAAAACTTCATAGACTTATCAATTCCAGACAGTCATACTCTCCTGAAGTTTTCAAATCACTTTGCAGAGGTAGCTGGCTACCCTAGTTTGGAAATCAGAAGGAGTTGTTATTGCAGTTTGCAATACTTAATGCAGATCTATGTAAATTGCTAGGGGAGGGGGGAGAGAACAGTTTGATCTTAAAATGTAATTTGGACTGTTCTCATCTTTTCTCGTAAAGGCTGTTTTCATCAGTTGTTGCCACCTCCCAGTGTTCAAACATCTCAAGTCTCTCAAAAAGTTCTGATACTTTTCAAGATAAGGATCAAGTTTTATGTATTTTTGTCTCTCAGTTCTCATGCCTTTGACATGCAGGTTTGCAAACTTCTTCCCCTATCAAAGGGCTTTAACATCTTTCCTTTTTTAGTTTTAAATGAAAATTGACATTCTCATTTGATAATGTGACTCCAGGAGCCAAGACTTTTAAGAAAAACGCCAAATACCACAATACCTATGGGAATTTGCAACCTTATTATTAATAATGGGCGCCTCTCACTGCTCTTCAAACCTCCTAAGATTTTGATGTTTCATCTAAATCCGTCCAGATTCTTGTGATCTTTCAAGGTGGGGAGACAGTGGAAAAGTACTTCCTCAGGAGAAGAACTCATTACAAAGCATGGATCCAGTCTCCAGTTTGAACCTCTTTAAACATCAAAACTCTTCAGGTCTAAGGTTTGCTTGCCTGCAGTCTTGTTTTTTCCCCCACTCCTTTTTGCTTTTCTGGTAGAATAAAGCATTTGATTTAAAGTTATATGCCTGGAAAAATAAAGCATTTAATTTACGTTTTACAAGGCAGTTATTGCAGGTTAATTAAATATCAATTGAGTGTTATAGGCCATATTAAGATTTATTAATAACTCAGCAGATAAATCTCCTTGGAATTCAATTAAATGAAAATCACATAAAAATATATGTGAAATTTTATTCATGTAATACATAAAAGTTGTGAATTATAGTGCACCATTGTACAGTAAGTTGATTAATGGGAATTAATTGCTGAAATAGAGAAAAATCAGTTTAAACTGGCTGTAGCAGATCCAAGAAGCCAGGTACACTTTTCCCATACCCTTGGAAAGCTGAGTTGGTGTCTGCACTTAAACTGTCTCACTCTGTACTGTAAATGCCTCTTGGACATAAATGGGCTTCCTCTCCTTTCACCTGCTTTAGCTCAGCCTTTTAGGCTTGGGGAAAAGAATGACTCTGTACTGCCAGTATGGGCCACTGAGTTAACTGCATGACTGAAGGCTTTAGAGATTAAAGCAGCAGCAGAGTGGTGGGTACCCCTGACACCAAAAGTGTACATTGGGCTGTCTTGTGTCCCAGGCAAGTTCTCTGTAAGGGAAAGGATCACGTGTATTCAGAGGTTTGGGAGCGTTTGTATCAATGGATGTTGGACACTTGTGCCCTTGATGCTTTTCAGATCTCTCTGCAAGTGTTTGTTGGGGGGTTATCAACGGAAGCCCTGCTAGCCAGTGTCTGCACTCAGGAGCATATGGGTGTGTTGGGCTTTAACCAGAAATACTGACTGGATCTAGGCCCGTTTTGGGAAGCAAAGCTTCCAACATCAGAGATGAGGTTCAGGAGCTGGACTTGGAAAATCACTTTCCAATATTTGCAGAAGGATGGAGGCCTGGCATGCTGCCATGTGTTCCTGTGCATCCTGTGTTAAATACTGTCAATATGAGATTATGTTCCAATTACAGGACCAGACTGACTGGTTTAACTCCTACCATGAATCTGTTTTCCTTTATTACTATGTACTAACTGTGTGACTGATGTACCAGACACCAAAAGAGATGGTCTCTGCCCAGAGGGCTTTGTCTAAAAGAAACATGCCGGGAGAAGGCAGAACGCAACAGAAAATGCAGATGAATGAGTAACTCAGTTGAGATTTTCTTTTTAATTTGGGGATTCTTTGCTTGTTTGTGTGTTTGGCTTGAGTTTTAATATTGCTAAACTTGCTTCCTTCAGACGTTGCACAAGAACAGAGACTTCCATAGAAACTCAAACAGGGATAGGCGTGTGACTCTTTGAAGTGTGTGTTGGGGGGTTTGAATGCTCAATGCACACAAGGGAACATTGGAGGGTAGAAAACGAAGGGAGAACCATGTTCCAGCTCAGATGACAACTCCAGCAGACACCACAGCTCATGCTGGGGAAGTTTAAAATATAGCAGGTTGTCTTTCTGTCAATGCTCTCCTTGCTCATCCTCCCTGCTCCTCCAGTAGAGAATGATGTGTCTGTCTCCTCTGTGCTTCATCTCTGCTTCTCCCTGCAATAGTTGTCAGGGATATTAGCATTAAATACTTACTGCCTGGCTTAACTAAGGGGTAAGATAGGATTTAATTTGTATGGCTGAAATCCAATTATATAATGGAGCCCCTGGGGGAAGCAGTTATACCTGCTGAATCTCTTGGATGAGTAATTGTGCACAAAGGCTTCTCTCCAGATCTAGAAACAGAGCTGAAATATTTTCTTTTCCCTTTCTTTTTTGCTTCTGCTGCTGTTATATAATATGGCTGAGACCCTGCAAAGAAAAACCAATGACAACCCCGGCCAGTAGAAAGAATGAAAGCATTGCCAGGAGAAAACAAGTTATAATCTGATAAAATCAAAGATCTAACAGGAAGTCTGCAGCAGCATTAGCTTGGAGGAGCCAAAATGCAGGGCAGCCAAAGGAAGCTTACTCATCTTTTTGGAGAACAGCACAGAGGCTTTGCTGTCTAACTTTTTTTTCCCCATTTCTACCATGAGCAGGGAAGAGGGAATCCTCCACTTGCTTTTGTCAGGTATATAAAAAGCTAAGCAGCTTTTCACATAAAGCACTAATTCACACACTTGTGAAAGATCCAGCACTTAACTCCCGTTAAAAATCCCTGCTCCTTATCCTGCATGTCATCTGTACTCTGATAAGCATCAGAATCACAGGTGATGATGAGCAGGACAGGAACAAAAGCATGATGAGGTTCCCAGCAAGGTTTCTGAAAGCAGGCAAGCTTGTAAAGCATTGATCTCTGGGATAGTACTGAGCTTGACAACTGTCCCATCTGATAGCTTCAGCAGCTCCAAATCCCACAAAGGAATAGACCACCGGCGCTGAATGGGTTGAAAGCATCAGCTCGTTATACTTAGGCATGTTTTTCCAAAGGTAGAGAGCCATATTAAATATATTTTAAAAACCAGAAAGCAAACTTTTATTCTTTTCTAATGAGTTCTGAGTGGAAAAAGCGTTTCTTCAGTCTCTGATTGTGTGATGACATGAAGATAAAACCATGACTGCATCTAGCTAGAACACCAAAAGCCGCAGGCTGAGGCCAAACCTGGATGGTCAGATACTCCCACCACATCCATTAGCCTCGTTGTTCTTAAGACCAGCTAAAGCAAAAGCAGTTGCAGCCCTTGAACTCATGAGGAGACGGTACCTGTCTCACAGCCTCGCAGCTCCACCCAGTGGCTCTTTTTTGGCAAGATAAAAGCAAGGTTCCAGCAGCAGTAAAACCTGTTCAGGTCACCGTTGTTGCGCTGTGGAGATGCTCCGGCAATGTGCATGGGAAACTGGGGGTATACTTCTTTGTGAAATTCTTGGCAAGCTGTCACCTGCCATTTGAATAATGGCACAAACCGCAATGGGAATTTTTAGTGAGATAGAAAACCCAGCAATCCCATTGCTCCCTTTCTTAAAACCCTCCCAGCGCAAATGGTAGAGGAAAAAACAGTAGTGAGCCAGTAACTCGCACACTTCACCTTCCCAAATGCTCTATGAGTAGATTGCAGTAGTTACCCCAAACTTATTCGTTATATGAAATTATTAACGAATTACTGGAGGAAATGATTTCTGTGTTGTAAGCTCATTTTGCAAAGAGTTGTCTTGTGAGGGTGAATGTCTGTGAGGTTCACTTGGCAGCTCACCCCGCATTGCTCTGCTTCCCTTCCTGGGTAATTGCTGTGACTAACAAGGAGCAAATTTTCATCATTTCTATCAAGGATGCCACTCTGAAACTTGCATTTTTCCAGGAGTAATGGGCCGCTTGTCATTAAAAGAAGCTTTTATTTGTGCACACACACACTTTTACGGTAGGAAAACTCCATGTGTGTATTCACAGAAGTGTGAGACCAGCACAGTTCATTTCAGATTTGAACCATTCCTCCAAGCTCAAGTGAAAACCAAAGTCTGTTGTGCTTAATGTAGGTTTCCCAGTGCCTCCATGTGTCTTAAAAAGAGAAGCTGATAAACTGATGCAAAAAGCAGGTTTTGTTGAGAATCTTCTGGAAGTGCTTGCCCCATCTGTGTTAAGAAGATCTCATCTGTGAAATATTGCTCGCAGACAGCCTGTGTAGCTTCAGTGCCATGGAATGAGTTGAAATGACCTCTTCGTGCTGAAGTTCAGATGTTATTTAGCATAAATGCAGCCCCTAAGGCCCTCGCTTGAAGTTGCTGTCTGCCAGTGAGGCAGCTGAATATGGGCTTTCATCTGTTTTGCTTTGCTGCTGGAGTTGTGAGGTGAGAGACTTTGAATTACAAACTATGTGAATCCCCTCTCTAAGCTTGTTATCAGTTACCCATCCATACAATTAGAAAGTGAGCAGAGACATGGTTAGCACAAGACATTGGAAGCTTCTTTCTATAGGGATGTTTCAAACCAAATATAATATTCCATATGTTAAGAATAACAAGAATCATCTTGAAAAGGGGAATTCTTTATTCATTATATGAAACCCTAAAACAGAGCAAGAACTTGCTGGGCTTTCCTTGTTCTCCCTAAAATTATCACTGAATACCCATTATGTGTATGAGCCATGGCAAGGGAGAGATCCATTTGCTGAGTATGGAAAGAGATGGAGGCTGTGGAATGAAACTGGTTAAGTGTGTTTGCTGAGCACCATCTCCCAGCTGAATCCATCTCGCATTCCCATAAGTGATCTCCATGCAGCAGTGTCACCATGAGAAGGGGTGAGGCCAGCCAGGCGTTTGCCTGTGTGCACGTAGCTGCAAGAGGATGCCTTCAAATGCACACAGTGTTTTATAAGACATTTAAAACGGCTGAGTTGTTGCCATGACAAGGGTACATACTTGCAGCCTGAGAGTTGCTCCTTCTCTGTCTCTGTACCAGGATTTTCAGTGTTTGCAAAATTCCTGCCAAAGATGAATGCATGTTGAGCAGTTCAGATGAAACTTGCTGGTGTGATAAGCTCTCTCCTTACCCCAGACATGCTGTTTAGTTGTTCTTTTCATGAAGCTGGGGGGGTTCCAGGTTCCTTGCAGCTGCTTTCAACTGCTGTGCTGTTCTGTGCTTGCTCTCTTCCCAGGTGAAGAGGGGTTTGTACGTAAGATGCCTGGAGGCTTTGTCTGTCTCACAGGAGAAGGTGGTGACTATCATATTCAGTAAAGGCAAGGTCAGGAAAGGCTGTGGCTTCCAGAAAGGGTACAGGATGACCTTGATTATCCTGTGCACTTGTGTCATTAACCATGTCTTCCAGTCAGGAATGTGGCAGCCTAGTCTCACTGAGGGGTCCATGGAGGACAACAGATGTCTGATCAGAAGACTTTTTTGTGTTGGAGTGTCAGCATAGGCATATTACACTTGTCCTGCGAGTAAGTCTGGTTTCAGCCGCAAGTTCCTTGCGGCAAGAACATGCATCTGTGCCACGTTCCCTGGAGAAATAAGAGGTGGAGAGAAACAGGTATTCAGGAGGAGCTAATTTTCCTGTTTACTGTAGAATGAGTACATTGGATCTGCTGGATTCAGTGCTGTGAAGTAGGGAAAGCACTCATGGTGTTACTCAGCTCTACTGTGGAGAGACTGAGTAGTTAATCCGGACCTCCAAGATCCCTTAAACCTTTGGGTCTCCCCTTTGAGCTGGACAATTAATGTGCCTTGTGATAGTGGTTCATGTGAAGCGAAAGGGCAGTGTTTTGTAGTGAGAGCAGGATGAATGGGAGGCAGTGCTCGAGGGTTTTATTCCTGTCTCTGCTGTGAGCCTTTGAAGCAGTCACTTGATTTATCTAGGCCTGATTCTTCTCTAACAGCATTTTCAAACTCCTGTTTTCTGTGCTTTTGGAAAAAGCCATGTAAGTTACACTTATGTGTTACACAGGAGTAACTGAAACTCTGCACAATTTAATGGCGAGTTATACACCCCTGAAGTGTGTTCAGCACAATGGATTCTTTCTATAGGTTTTGCTTAGTTTCTCGTGCTTTCTAAAATCAATTCTATAGAATAGCTTTTGCAAGGAACTTTACAAGCAGTGTTAGTTCAATTTCTTCCAGTGAAGTAGAAATGAAGTGTCTTTTCAAACCAAAACCATTTTAGAAGTATTGCCTGAATTTCTGTCTCTTTGCCCCATGAAGTGGTTCCCTACAAAATGAAACATTAAATCTCTATCCTTTCTTCCACTGACTTTGTTCTTTTTTAATTTTCTAAACATTTTCTCTATATTGAGGAGAAGAAACAAATAGAAAACCCTCCCCAGGTAAACCAGTAGGAATTAAACAAGCGTTTTCAAAATTCATTGAGCCAGGCTAAGATTTCAGGTTATAAAAATCCCCTGTGCTCATTCACCATACTCATCTCTCTGTCTTGGAAGATTAGGGTTAAGCTGAGGTGTAAAATCCCCTGTGACTAAGCCAGGCTGGTAGCACCCTGTGCAAAGAGATCCATCACTCACCCACATATGTGTAATTCTGCTCTGTGTTTTCAGGCCCCAGGTAGTTCAAGACGCTGTTCCTGGCTTTGCTGAGCAAATACAGCTCTTGAAGAAACATTGCTTTCTTCCCATACATGGTGTTTGCAGGGATGATGCAGGTTGTGAGTTTACCACCGTTGCTCAGCTGTAAATCAGGGAGGGATGTTAGTGACTTACAGATTCAGAGATGAAATCTTCCACAGTGCTACTGGGTTTGCCAGGTAAAACCAAAAGCTGGGAATATCGGGCTAGAGGAGCCCACATTTGCTGAGGTGCTCTGGACACTTAAGGCCTGATTTGTGTCCCTAAAAAATGCAAGGAGGTGCCCAGTTTGATATCTTTTAATATCTTCTTTCATAGCACACCTGCACCCATGTGGTGCTCACTGGGAGATGTTGGATGAAGGCTGTTAGTGGCGTTAACTCTTCTGCAGTTGTGATGTACAAAAGGAGTATTTGCAACAAGCAAAATCAGGTACCAGAGGAAGGCAGCTAAGCTGGCTGCCCTCTACTGTAACAGGGAAAGAGAGATGCTCCAGGCAGTGATTTAGGACACAAGTCTCATTTTTACATTCTGCTTCACCCTCCAGAGGAACTCATCTGTTTGCTGACTGAATGGGAGCCTGAAGCCTAGCCAGCTAGCTTAGGTGGCTTACTCTTGATACACTAGTATTTTTGATTCTGAAATCATGCAGGCGTGTCTGAAAGTAACCCCTGTGTGCAGTATGAGCTAGGTTCTGTGATTTTAAGTGAACCTAGTGTCTTAGGCTGTAATTAACACAGCTCTTTCTGAGGTCCCACTCCTGCTGGGACCTCAAGCACAGGCTTAAAAGTGCACCTTATGAGATTCCCTGATGATATGGAATACCAGGCTTTGGTAAGCTTAGGGCAGTGTGGTTTATGCATCGAGTCAAGGCAGTGGTTCAATACACACAGATGTGAGTTGTGGGGTCTTTCTACCCATCTTCTCCTTCCATCCATCCTGTGCTGTAATACCAGGGGTGCTACCATTGCCTCTTGTAGCTTTTTTCCATTGCCTTCAAATACAAGTTTTTCTGCTGTGGCTTTTGTCTTCCCAAAAGACAGCTCCACTTCCCCACTGTATTTGGTGTCCTCATTCCCTCTGAAATAGATTGTGAGACATGGTGAGTGACCGTGGAGTAGAGCAGAGGACTTGGAGGCAGTTGTCACAGAGTGATTTATTCTGCAATCTCTGCTCTCCAGGGACTTAACCACTGGCTGTGAGTTACATGAAGCTGAGATCCTTGCTGCAGCTGGGAAATAAAGCTTTCAGAAATACCAGTTGGTTCTGGGTGTTCATAGGCAGGTTTGTATGAGGGAAGTGGTTTGATTTCTGAGAGCTGGATTTGTCTGTGTCTCTAATAGTGTGATTGAAGCAAGTAACATTCTGGCAGGCAAGTTAGAAGGCAGTGGAGGTACCTTTTTAAGCAGCTCACAAGTGGCTGAGCAAGGTGGAAAGAGGGCAGGAAAATGAGAGCAATCCTACTTCATTTTTTCATTAGAGGTAGAGGAAAACTTCTCATGAGCCATAAACTAAAAGGAGAAGCTGCTGCTTAATTCTCTCAGAGTTGATTAGAGTATGAAGACATTTGCTGGTGATGTGACAGAGCTGCTGGTGATCTATTTCAGAGGAAGACATGCAATCAGTGGGTTTGTGCTGGGATTAATCCTTCATCTCCCCTAGCAAATTACATCTGAGGGGAAGAGCAAAGAAGTGGACTTGATACAGGGTTAACCAATGTACAAGGGGGTTGTACAAGGGGGTTAGAGGAATTCACTTGCTTAAACAAAAGTATTTTCTGTACCTGTTATGCCTACTAAGCAGAACAAAGGCACTAACTATTGATAAGGAAAAGCAGACACCTGGTTCTGCTGACACAGAAAAGCAGACACCTGATTCTACTGATAAGCAGCTATTGATAAGGAAAAGCAGATGCCTGAAGGGGGAGAAGCAGATGGTTTATAGCTGGGACACCGACCAAACCCTAAGGCCATATGTGAAGACTAAAAGGTGAAAAGTTCAAGAAGAGGAAGACTCACTTACTTCATCTTGAAGACCCCTACCCACAGGAGGAAGACTCAGTTACTTCATCTTGAGACTCCTGCCCATGGAATCTAACATGTAACTTGGCCTGACAGGCCCTGAAATGATTCCAAGGAGAAACAAGAAAGCAGCTCGATTCCCCTCCATGGTGCTGGTGTTCTGTCCCAGTGGTTGTAGATCAACATTAGTCCATCTCAGGACTTGGTTAAGCAGATTCGGTGGGCTCTGGAGGAGCCCTAGAGTGAAGAAACCTTGTTTGAAGCGTTGAGAAGGACCATTGATTAATAATACCATGTGGTCCTTTGCTCCCCTGCTGCCATGACTAGCATGGGGGGGCTCTCCTTTCCTCCCTCTGTGTGCTGCAGGAGACTGTCTCATTTCCTCTCTATTTTGCTCTCCTAGGGAATTTCACCCTAGGCAAACCCAGACTATGCCCGGCATGGGGTACCCCCACACAAAGCAACGGTGCTTTATTAAGCTCCTTTTGCAGATGAGGCTCCGTCTTGGGAGGGTTAAGTGGCTTGTGACAGTTCATGCAGCAGATCTGCAGCAGAGGTCTTCCTGTCAAACACTGGGCCTCGGGGGAGCAGGCTCTGACTCAGGCTTCCCAGCTGACCTTGGCCAACTTGCTTACCCTTTTCTATGCTCCCTGTGTAAAATGTGGATAATGCTGCTGCCCCTCTCCTGCCTGTTTGGCAGTCTGGTTGTGTCTCAGATACCCCAGCTGAGAGCAGGGCCTTCCTGTGCTACAGCAACAGAAATACATGAGGAGCATCAGCATACAGCCTCCTCACCTTGGGGCTTTTAGCACAAAACCCTCCTCCCCTTCCCTGTGTTTACGGTGATGAGCAAGAGACAAACCAGAAACCAAGCAAGACAAAAGATGGATTGTGCCTGGTTTGGTGCAAGCCCAGGAGAGGCTCAAGACAATCAGGGGTTATCTGGAAGTTCTGGGTTTAATTGCTTTCTTTTTCTTGCCTTGCAAAGCTTTTGAAAAGCAGCTTCACAAAGGGCTAAACCTGCCTGCTGCTCCTGGGCTGCAGAGCACTGCTCCTGTTTGCCTTCCCCCACCCCTTGTGAAGCTGGGTAGTAACAAAGAGCTCAGCATAATGCTTTTGCTTTTCAAAACGATCACAGATAAGCGAACACTAATAAGACTGGAGCAGCATTGTCAGAAGGTATCTCAGCAGTGGCTGTCTCGGAGGGATTGAGACTGACAGAGGCATTTTCTATTATTGTCGGATGCTGAGGTGTGAGCATTATCCCTGCACCCATCACCCTGTCCAGAGACTAATCATGCTTTGTCTGGGTCCGTTCCCAAACACATAAAAGTGAGTTAACTAAATTATATGAGGAATGATGGAGAAAGGGGATAGAGAAAAATAAATAGGCAGGCAGGCAGGATTGTGGACCGGGAGGGGAAGAGCAGAGCAGATTGGGTGGGGATGGGGGAGGTGAGATGAGGAGGAAGGGGAATGCTGCATCACCTGTGCTTTCAGTCTGGAACACACTGCCATATTATGTTGCCTTCCAGCCATCCCTGGGCTCCCTACTGAGACAGGGGGTGGAATTTTTGACTGTGGGGCTGAGCCTTCTCTCATTTTGCAGTATATAATTCTCTTAGTTTAAAATCAGAATCACTGGAGAACAAAGATCACTCTCTCAGGCTTTTTTCAGCATCATGGGAGAGCCCAAGTGAGTTCCGCAAGATGAGTTAAAGGTCCTAGGTGCTGGTTTTATTTGCATTTATGATGGGAAAGCACTGGGAGTTGGAGGGCAGGTGGTGTGCATGTGTAGCTCTGTGAGCATCAGACTAATTGGGTTTTTGCTTGTACCTGTTGATGCCGTCCTTGCAAGCCAAAGGACTGGCTTCTTAGGCAAGATTTGGGATAGACTTTTTTAAGCCATCTATTCACATCCATCTTTTAAGTTACAGGACTGAAATACTAACAAGTATGTGCCCTTGTTAATACTTCATTTCATCTTTAGAAATGATTTAAGTATGTTAATGACCAAATTCCACAACTTTCCAGTGACACGCAGCCTCCAGCGCTTATGATCCAAGTGGGTTGATGTTTGTTGTTCTCATGACTTTTCATAAGCCAGACATTTGTTCTACAGCTTTAGGTGCTTAAACCCTTTTCAGAGCAACTAGGCTATGCCTTAACTTACTTGCAAGTATGAAAATTAGGCTTCTGGGGCATTTTAAGTTGTGTCTTAAGCAGACTTTTTAGCTGGGCACAGATTCCTAGAGCCAAATGACTGAAGCCAGCTGTGTCTTGCCCCATGAATGCAAGAGGTATTCAGACGTCAAGTTCTGAGCAGGAGTGTCAGCTGAATGTGAAGGTCACTTCTATCTCGGGTATCAAAGATCTATAAGCAAAAACCCCTCCAAATCCGAATTTTGACCACTGTCTCTGTATTGCTCCAAATCCTTTGCTGAGGGAGTTTTTCTCAAACTGCTGCTTCTGGGGCTGAGGGTCAGTCTCCTAAGAGCCACGTACAGAAGAGGTGGGTTGAGCATCATGCCCAAGAGTGTAAGTCCAGGAATTAGCCCTTTGTAAGCAAACTGCCATGAAAAAGGATTTTGAGGGATAGAAAGGTGCAATTTATAGGTCAGATCCAGGTCACAGAAGAGTGTGTGAATACTGAAGGGCAACTTCCCACCAAATGTGCATCTGTCCCCTAAGACTGTGTGGCCAAGTAACTTCCTTCTGAGATAGTGCTAAAAGTCTCTATACGTTTGAACACATCTGATAACAGAAGCTAGGTACAGGCTGGCTAACAATTCACTATGGAGCTGAAAAGAGGAGGGAGAGTGCTCTTTGGATTGACTCAGGGTGAGGAGAGAGCAAAACTCTGCCCACATAGTGGGATACAACTTGACCATATCCCAAACTTCAAGCATCTCAGACCTTTATTGAAACTGATTTTCTGGCTTAGGGGAGCAGGGCTGTGCATACAGAGGACAGCCTGGAGGTGCAGTTAGGTCCTACATCTCTCAACCAAATGCTCAAGTTTATGTTGGGAAGAGCTGTGGCTTCTGAAAGTGAAGAGCAGCAAAGAAGGATTTCCAAGCAAGAGAAGAGTAGACAGGAAGGGGAATGTGTATTTTCTCCTTTGCAGCCATGGCAGAAATTTCTACCTGGTTGCAGTTTCACTGCTGTTTCACCAGAAATCCACAGTGGAGATTTGCTGACCGTTGCCTGAGCTCACAGGATGTATTGGGTCCCACTGCAGCAGTGGAGCTCGTATAGACAACATATGGGATGTTCAGGACACAGCAGGCCCTTAACACATTTTCAGTACCTGGGGTCAGGAAGGACAAACATTATCAATCTTGCCTTCATTCCTGTTGTGCAAATCAAAAGAGATTTCCAGGTTTGGGATTCTGACTTGGAACAGATCTATCTTTTTTATGGCTGAATAGATGTAAAGCTACAGGTTAAGGCTGCAGCTCCTTAGGCATATTTGCATAGGAATGGATGGTTTATAACATGAGAGCTGCAGTTACATCTGTAGCTATAATGTGGCTTAATGTCTGTGCCTGTTGACAACTGACTTAACTTGGACTTAATAGCTGCTAGTAAAAAGGAGCCAAGTTAAAATCCATTCAGCTTAACAAAAAGCAGATTAAAAAGTCTTTAAGTGACTAGATGGAAAAAAATAACTCTCGTAGAAGAGGACTCTTGAATCTAGTCAACAAGTCTGTAACAGGATTCAGCAACCAGTGGTTGAAAGAGAGGGAATCAAAGCAGAAGATGTAAATTTTGGCCAGAAATGCTGATTAACCATAGCCACACTAATGCTCTTCAGCATTGTTACGGCTTGCTGAAAGACATGATAGATAGCCCATTAGTTGCATTCTAGGCAAGGAGTCTTTTGAAAAGGCAGAGTCCAATTTAGCCACAAATTGTTGGGCTTAAGGCAGTAATTGGGTGAATTTCTGTGGCCTGAGTTGCACACTAGAGGATTACACAGTTGACCTGTCCTGACCCTATTTGTTTTCCATGAAGCCTACAGCAGCTATCAAACACAATTCATTTGTATTCTTTTACCTGCTAGGATTTGAACAGAAACCTTTAGCCTGATCCCTCTCTAGACTGAGCAGAGCATTTTAGGGAGGTCTACATGAAGCCATCCAAGGGCAGGCAGAACTGCAGAAGAGTTTGCCTGACAATAAGTCTCCTGTTAAGACACCTCAAACTGTGCTCCTCAGAGGCACTCAGTCACACGGGAATAAACTTTGGGTGTGTGGTTTTCTGGGAATGTCGCAAGCATCTGCAAGAGGTTTGGTTTGCTGAATAGGGGAGTTGCCCAACGGTTACTGCTATCTGTAAAAACCTCACTCCACTGAAGTACCTTGCTCATAGCAAGCAGACAATGAAGGGGAAGATCTCACAAAGACATTAAAAGGCAGCAGGAGCCCTCAGGCTCTGAATATTCTCAGTACACATGCACAGTACAGGCTCTTAAAAGCATCTGGTTTTGAAAAGAACTACAGCAATGAAAAGAAGAATGGGATTTAAATGTTGCCCTTGAATGTATCAGCAAATAGGAGAAGCCCTAAGCAGTAACTGAGTTTGAGATATATATATATACACACACACATAAAAATACAAAAATCCTTCCTTGCGGTTAACAACTGTTTTAGTAGCTAACAGCCTGAGGTGCCATTGGAATTGCTGCTGTAATGGGGATTTCATTAGTTTTATAGCCTGTGCTTATTTCCTAGATTTATGAACAAATTTTCTTTAAGCAGACCTTGCACCTAACATGAAGTCAGTGCTTGGTGGTAGAGAGAAAATTCTGTGAGCTCTTGGTTATGCGTGGCTTGTGGATACATAATAGTTGTGAGCTCTGACTACAGTTAAAATAACATCCCTCCCTCACAGTGGATGCAGTTCAACTGGTGGAGCCTTGTGCTGGTGTACATTGTAGGGCTTTTCTCCTGGGGAAAGCTATGAGCTGTTTAGAACAGGCGTTAACTTCTAATTGTTGTCCTTGTCTCATACTGAACAGTTTCTTACCACTATAGACGTGTGCTGAGTCACCTCGGTACTATTAGTTATAGCTTTGACCAGAATAACTGTGTAATAACTGGGTACAGATTTGATTTTCTAAGATGAAGGTTTAGCACTGGAGAGGAACGGCACATCCTGCCATGAGCAAGGACAGGGGGGCAAAAGCAGAAACTTCCCCACTAGAAATGAATGGTCCTGGGCACCTTCCTGCCCCCATAGCAGACCAGTGTGTGTGTGTGAAATTCAGGGGACAAAGGAGCACTAAATCAGTGCAGCTATGTTTGTCATAGCCTCTTGTCTGACTCCACCAAGGTGTGTGAATTGAAGGCTGTATTTAATTGCTTGTTTTAAAGAGCTTACCCCCAACGCTGACAGCTCTCATTTCCCAAAAGGGCACAGTGTTTCTGTAGTCCACAACAGCCACTGTGTGAACAACCACGTGAGCTGCCCGCATGGCAGCAAGGAGCAGATTGTACCCTCAAATGTCTCCTTTCATCACTGTCACGAGTGGTAGCTGGAGGAAAAGAACATAACCATAGACGCAAGGGGGGAAAAGTACAAACCAGCATCCTCACCTTCTTGCACAGGATCTGTCTTGAAAATCATCTCTGCAGCGCAAGCTGAGGCTGTTGGCCCAGAGCTGCAGTTGGTTATGGGACTTGCTGCAGTGTATGTGAATGGGAGATGTGCTGGGCAGTTTCCTTGAGGCACAGTTTTAGAGCTTGCTGGGAGTAACACCGGGCAAGTTAAAGGGACATTGCACACAGCTTGATTTAAGGGTAAATGCTATAGATGGGAAGGGAAAATAATGTAACAGGTTAAAAAGTTTCATAGGAAATTCTTCCTTTTGAGACATTCCGAAGGGTTTCCCCATCTCCTTCTTCTTCCCCTCCTTCTACCTCAAAATAGCTGTTCCATACATGGCTACTGTTGGCAGCTGCTGCTGATTTTCTTGCTTTGAGCCAGTGTTGCAATATTTAAGTAGGATTTTTCCCTTTTTCCTTTTCTGTAATTGGGACTAGGCCAGCAAGAGGCTGGGGTTAGGAAGCTGTGCTCCCTGGGGATTTTGCAATAAGCTAGAGAGCAGTAGCAGCCACATGATTGCCTTAGGAAGGAGACATCTCCTCTGCCCTGGGCTGGCAGCTTCCTGGAGAGCCCCATGCAGCCAGGGATCAGCGCAGTGACTCCTGAAGGATCATACATGAGCAGCTCAGGGAAGCAGATGAGGATGTTCCTGTTGAAGGTCTCTGCCAGCACTGAAAGGTGGAGCAGGATGGCAGCAGCCTCATGGGAGAAGGGTTTTGCTTCTATTTAGTGCTGAAAGGAAGCTTGTAACATTCAGGCTGAAGTCTTAAATAGCTCTTTGCATCTCTGTCTTAATGCAGCTGGTGTAGTTAAGACCAGCAAGGGAATGACGAGGAGCTTAGGCAAAACCAGGGAGGATGCAGGCAACCATGAGCCATTTTCACATTGATAAGGCCTGATGAGCTTTATGCAGGGCTGCTGAAGAGGTGGAGGATGTAACTGCAGCTTTACTGCCTTATCAGCTACTTTGGAGAACTTTTGGAGGCACTGGAAGAATGGAATAGAGCAAATGAAACAGCAGTGCTTAGAAAGGAGGTAAAGAGCCAGGAAATTACAGAACAGCTTAATTTCAACCCCAGGAAGTTCAGGAACACACATTTGAATGTGTGTGAACACCTGGGGGATGCTGTGGAGAACAGAAGCAGCTGACAGGGAGTTGTCAAGAACAAATCAAGTCAGATAAATCTCCTTTGTTCTTATGACAAGTTAACAGGCTGTATGGATATCACGGAACAGGTCGATGTCATCTCTCTTGATTTTAGAAGGGCTTTGGAAGCTCTGTGTCACTCTCACAGTCAGTAAAACATGGTCTCAGCCAGCCACATTAGGGTGAGCGCAAGGCCGGCTGAAGTACAGCTCCCAGGGAATTGCCAGCTGTGGTAGGTGGCTGCCCTGGGGCTCTCCAGGGCTTATTGCTCTATTGGAGTCTTCTTTTATTGTTTTCATCAAGAATCTGGCAGATTTGTTCATTAAACCAGCTGAGGGGTTTAATGAACAAATCTGAGGCTGGGAGGGACTCGAGGTACACCGGGGGATTAGAGTGAGAGCTGAACGTAACCCACAGAGCCTGGAACAGAAAAGGTGAAATTTGATAGGGACAAAGAAGGTGGTTGGGGTTAGTAGGGGAAAGGCAGTGGGCCTTATGAAGGAATTAAATTGGAGCAGGGCAGCTCAGGAGCTATTGCCTGGTGTCAGGGTCTTGCAGCTGTGAAAGAGGTGTAATTGTACTGACAGGTATGAATAGAAGAGTTTGCAGACGGACAAAATAAATCCATCAGCTCTTCTGAGTGGTGGAAGGGCTGCAGCCGGCCTCTCTGCCCTAGCCTGAGTGTCCTCTTCCCGAAGAGAGCAATACCAGTGCTCAGAGACCCACAGAGTGTGAGCTGGGGAGGAGGAAACAGAACGCGAGAGCTGGTTTAGCCTACAGGAGACAGTTGTACGGAGCAGAAGGAGTGTTTTTCAAACCATGAAGATTGTTGTAATAAATGACAGCATGAACCTATCCTACCTGTAAGGTTAAGATGAGGAATCAAGGACTGAAGTTGCAGGTTAGACTGTACCACCGGTAACGGACTGATGGTGCCGAAATCAGCCTAGGGCCAGGACAGAGAAACATCTGTTGGGAATGTTGTGGTGGATGGAGGTTTGGACAGCCCCTCAGGGCTGCTTCTCCCTCATTTTTCTGGGATCTGCTGTGATGTTAGGCCACAGAGCTCTCTTGGAGTGTGGGTTCTAGCACCTCCTGAAGAGGTAAACATTTATCCTTCAGTTATGGGTGCTCTTAAGGCTTCTGGGAGGGCTTCTGATAGTGATATTTCCCTGGGAGTCTTTAACTTGCTTTAAGCGTATCTCCTCTCTATTGGTACCTCCTGAAAGATTGGATCTCCCCCATCAGTTTTGCTCTCTCCTTGGAAGCAGGCTGAAGTCTGAGTAGCCAGGGGTGGGCGGGGAGAAAGCCCACCATGGACGGTGCAGAGCACCATGAGCAGCATTGGCTTGTTTTGCATGGGGATTCTCTAATCCCGTAACCCAGGTTGTTTTCCCCCAGCATATATCACTGAACCAAGCCTGGCTGAAGGCAGCTCTCAGAATATGATCAAATGGATTAATTCAGTATTTCTGAGCATGTTTACTGAGGCTCTTCCTTTTCTATGCACAGAGCAGTCAGGCTGCTATAGGTTTCTCCCAGTTGTTTCAGTAGTGTATTTCACCGTATCTGCAGCAGATGCTGACCTTGATTCTGTTATTGGCAGGGCTTTGTTGGTTGTTTTTCTCAGAGTTGGAAGCTGGTTGGAGCAGTTCAGAACATGGGGGTTTGTCCCTTTGCTGTTAGACTGGTTGAGCAGAAGTAAGCGGGTAGCTAAGTTCCCATGTCAGGTACTTGGTGTGCACATTGCTCCTTACAACTGGTAAGTGGTACTTGGATCCTCCTAGTGATCTATCTCTTGGGGTTACACGCTGTGGATCTTTCTGCTTTGATTTAGTCCTATGCTAAAAAACCTTCTCTGAGCTGAAAGTTATTCTTCATCCAGGCTGTTTAATCCAGGTTCCTACCCCATGCCTGTAACCTTGGCATCCCCAACATAATACCAGCTGCTCTGAAAAGTGAGGATTATGGCTGCTTAATAGAAGCTGATGCCCTTTCCTTACCTGTGGTGAATTTTTCTACTTCTTCTCTTGCTACTGAATCAAAAGCTCTGACTCCTTTGATGTAGTCTTGCTGAGACAGGAGCTCTACAATCTTCTCCCCAATAAAACCACATCCTCCTGTCACCAGGTAGACTCTGTCCATTTCTGAAGGTGGTTTTGTGGTTGAGGAATAGAGAGAAGGTTGCTGCCAGGATCTTATTGTGCACCGTTAATCTCTCAGCCAGTCTGTTTTCTGAGCTAAGTCTGAAGTTTAGCTGTCACATAACGTTACTGGCTGAACATTAACTCCATCCAGTCATATATAAATCAGGTTTTCATTGGCACAGTCACACAAGTGCTGCCACAACCATACCAGTGCTGTGTACTGGCCAGGTCTGGGTTCTCTGACTCAGCCTTTCCCTTCTAACCCAGCAGCAGCAGGGCACCTCCGGCCCAGGCCAGAAGTTTGATGCCAGAAGTTTTCCATCCTGGAAAGCCCTTTCCCACAGCTGGGTTGTCAGCTGTCACAGCAGCCTGCATCTCTCTGGGTGCTGCACACAGACGGGGTGCCCCAGAGCTGTGCTTAGGGCAGAAATGTTTTAGTGTGATGCTACAATGATCCGGTTCCCATGAATTTAGCTGGTGATCAGCAGCAGCTCTCACCAGCACTGAGTGTATTGTGCATGGTACAGGCAGGGGAAGTTAAGGAAGGGTCATTTGTAACTGTATGCTCACGGCTCTACCAGTTTCATTATCTAGTCTGGCTCTTCTGAATGAATTCTTTGAGTCAGAATATATTTATACACACACACACACACAGACTCGCTCTCATCTATTTAGGATGAGAAAGTGCTCCCTTCATTTGAAAACTGTCTAGGTGTAAAAGCTGTACTGAAGCCTTTGGCAAGTTGTTACAGTGGTTAATTATCATCATCATTAAACCAGCGCACTGTTGTGCTTTATCTGCCAGCCAGGGGCTGATACACCTTTTCCTTGCTAGGCTGTAAAGAATGTGTTTGTCATTTGGAGAAAGGAAAAAGATGGCATCAGCTTTGTCTAAGGGTGCTTGAGCCTGTCCTAAGATTGGGATGGGAGGTGGGACAGTCTGCCTCCTGGCAGGGCTGTTTCTGCCTCTCTCATGCAGTCTCACAGGCCCGACCAGCCATCAGGCTCTCTTGGATGCCAAGCAAACTAGTTCCAATCCACCTCTGAACCAACTTGTCACTGTTTTGGTGAACACACTGTCCTAAGAGAGGTTGCAGTGGTACATACATAGGGTAATATAATCCCTGGTTACTTTTCCTTCATAATGTGTACAGTGCAGTACTTGCCTTTCTGGCCACGGTGTTGCTTGGGAAGCTTAGGATGATCTCGTGTTGGGATCCCTGCTTTCCCCTTCCCCAGGCTGAGTGTGCGTTACAGCTGCTCAGTCAGGCTGTGTTGGGGTGGGGGTAACCCTGGTAGCCCTTCCCTGGTCACATACAACAGGCTGAAACATGAGGAAGGAATTCCAGCTGTGGGAATGTAGAAAACAACATTGTTGGAGCTGTTCTTACTATAGCGTTAATGCTTGTCTGTCTTTCTTTCAAAGGTAAGCTGTATAGCAAGTTGCTGCTGAGCATGTGGCTAATGAAGAGTTAAGGCAGTGTAGTTAAAGAGTAACTGCTTCATTTATGAATATATGGTTTTCTTTTAATCAGCTCCTGTGAGAAGTTCAATCTGTTCAACTCTGCCATTGATTTCTGTTGCGCTGTGTTGAGCGTTAGGAAAAGCCCCGTTTCCCCTCGCTGTGATTACAATCAGTGGCCATAATGGCCCAGAGACCAACAAGGGCCTGATGCTAATTTGGAGCCAGCACAGCCACAAATGTCCCGAGAAATTAATTTTGCCTTTTATCCAGCACCCCCCATCTGTGCAATAGTGATTAACAGAACTGCTTTCCCTCAGAGGGCTCTCTGCAAGGACAAATGTTCCAGAGGTGGAGGAGTTAGGACACAAAAACCAAGATAAATACACCCGGAGAGACCCAGAGAAGTGCTGCATGGGAATGTTTGGCATCAAGTAACCTTGAGTATGTCCTCATCAGTGATGCAAAAAGCTGTATGAAGCAGAGGCCTTGTGGATGGTCTCAGTGTTTACAGGATTTAGCCTTTGCTACAATATTGGTATCTGCATATCTGCAACATAATCTGATCAGTAGGGAGACAAAATTGGCTGTGATTTACGTATCTCTTTTGCTAGGATGTGAAAAACAAGTTCAGGAACCAGAACTGTCACATCTCTGACAGAAACAGCCCAGGTCCTCCTCTGCAGCCAACAGAGGCAGAGCAGAGCCTCCCTTTGCAAACAAACAGGTAGTTAATTCTAAATGGGTAGCTGTTCCCACCATAGGAAGGTTAAACCCCACACAGGTCCCCAAACACATCCTCTTATAACAGCTTGAATGGTCACAAGAGATGATGGCGACTCTGGGGGTCTCTGTAAGCCCAGAGGCAAACCCAGAGAAGGCACAAGTGGGCACACGCAGCCACTCCTGGAGGAGGCAGACACTCAGGAGGTACCAGGGGACTGCAGGAAGGGAACCTGGGTGGCTGCCGCGGTCCTAGACCAGCCAACGCGCCCTCCTTGAGCTGCAAGGAAACCCGAGGCACTGAGACAAGCTGAAGAGAACAGATTTTAAGGTACTCTTAAGCAGTGCAGAATTGCCTGTGGCTTGTTCCCAGAGCGCCCTTGCTCAGCTGAGGGCAAGCTGCGATCCCTGGCTCTGTACTGACATAAAACTCCTGCAGGTATAGCTGCACATTTCCTGCAGGAAGAGTTTGCCGTATCCCAGTACTGCCTCACTCTGCAATGCAAAGCAAGGTGCTCAAAGCTGACAGTGCTCAAAGGCTTATCCAGGCTGCTTGAGGAATTAGGGAACCATGAAGAGATATGGGCCTGTATTCCAATAGCGTGGCTGGGAATGCAGTGTAGTGCCTAAATGTGTCCCAGAGACCAATCTCAAACCTCCGAGCTGGCAGCCATGGCAGTATCTGCAGAACAGTCAAATCCCATCATAGGTAAGGGAACTGCCAGACTTGGCTTTAGCTGGTGAAAGCCTTTTCTGTCCCTGAGCTTTGTAAATACGGACACCTGACATCATATTCCTTTACAGTATGTTTATTTCTCAGTGCATTACATGAAAGGTCTTTGGTATTTGTGGGTTCTTGAATACTTTCCCCACTCTGCTCTGTAAGAAAATGCTGAATACAAAACATTCCATATACAGTAACAAACCCCATAGCGAATAAAGAGAAATAGCTATTTTGAACAATAACATAGCGATATGAAAACAGGTACGTAACCATGCAAGAGGTGGAACAAACAGGTTGTGTTTACAACAAACATTAGAGCCTGCCATAAGGGAGTTTATCATGTCAGATGAGATCTAGTCTTGCTCTAAGTTAAGAAACTGCACATGATTGCAAGATACTGCGTATGGCTGCCCTGCGAAAGACCAAAGGGCTGTAAAGCTTATTACAATGAGGGGAGCCAGGACCATTTGCACACGTACAAAACACACTGATATAAATAAAAAAATACTGTGTAAAATAACTAGTGAAAAAGTTAACATTGCCTCAGATGGATGGGAACGTGCCTTGGGAACAGTTATAGCACCTTTGAATTGCTTGGTTCCAATGCAGTTGCAGACACTGCGAGTACTTTAATCCCCTGGACCACCAAGCACCGGAATGGAATGTAATCTTGACTTAGACAAGCTGTAAACGTGGAAGAGAATGGATTTCCAATAAATTGTATTGGGCAGTAATTCCAGAAGCTGACTGATTGTCTTTTAGAAGCCTTTGTCACAGTGGTCAGGTTCCTACATTAAAATAGTTCCATGAAGAGACTGGGAGTGAACCCCCAGCCCAGAGCTGAGCCCTCAGCAAGCTGCTGATGTGCCCTCTGCTTGGCTGCACTGAACAGCACCAGCCCATGCTAGCTTGAGAACTGGACCTGATTGATTTTTAGGGCCTGTTTCTTTGAAAGTTGATGGCACAATTACTGTGGAGTTTGGTGGGAGCAGGCGAGGGCTCTTCTCTCTAATTTACTCCTATTTCCCTGGGTTGTTATCAATTCTTTATGGTAAGTGCAAGTTAGATACTCTGGAGAGAAGCATTCTCCTCCTCCCAGGAGTACCAGATTGCTGGTGAACACGAGGGTGCATGAATTACAAAGATTTGTGGTTGTGCAATGTGCTGCTGCTGCTGCTTCTGGTTAGCTCAAGGCAAGGAAAACGTGTTACTACAACCAGAACCAATCCAAGTCAAATCCACATTGGAGCTCAGAGAAACATTAAGAATTTCAACAAAGTCTTAGGAAAAGAAAAGGAAACACACACACTATGGAATTGCACAGTGGGTAAGAGAAAGCACTAAACATTTCCATTAAAGTATATTTCTAAATGAGCACGCATTCAAAATAAATCCACTCTCTAAGTTACAGACATGGCAAGATGCATTATATGCCCTGGCTAAAATGAACCTCAGTTCCTGCCTAAGATGGAAGATGGAGTGGTTTGCCTAGTGATAAATATCATCAATGTCAGGGTGTGAGGCTGTGTTCACCTTTAAAACATAATTAAACTGGGACTGCACAACAGCATGGTCTGACCCTTATGTAAGTAGAGAGGAATGAAATCCCAGCTGAGAAAAGAGAGTCCAGTTGGTACAATCCTACTGCCACCCAAGTTACAGATACAGTACCACATCAGAGAGATGTAGCTGAATAAATCAAAGCATGGGGAGAAAAAGAACCACATAGCTCATACAGAAATGTGGGAAAGTCAGTAATGAAGACAGTTGCAACCCAAATCTAACCAGTCTTGACAATTGACTTGGCAGGATTCATTGCAAACAACTTCCATTCTGTTTCCATTCATCTTGCCAGTAATTTGCTTTAAATCATTTAAAATCCCAAATCCTGGTTAATATGAATGACTTGAGGAGAGTCCTCATAAATCTAATGCAATAGTTTTGAATTCAGGATGACAAACTCGAAGGCTCCAAAGTGCCAGGGAAGTGAAAATGGCCTCACCGTACTCCCTGTTCCCCAAATTCAACCCCAGAGCGACAGGACCAGTGCAATGGAACTTTGCTGTTTCCCTTTTTAAGGGTTGGTTCCTGGAGCTGCCATGAGGACACTCTCTCCATGTGGCAGGCGACTACAGCCACCACCAACCCACCCAGTGCCCACCATTGGACTGAACTGGGATTTTGCCTGTCTTCGGGGCCTGATCATCTAACACCTACTGGTAAGTGCAAGGGGTTTTCCCTGGAAGCCACCGGCCGTTTGCTGTGGTGTCTACGTGATCAGGACAGAGAGGTGATCAAGTACTTCTCAATCCCTGCACTGAAACCAGCCTGTAAATGGGGAAACATCTTTTCACTAGTTTCACATCAGTGAACTCAGTCATCCCAATGGAACCTGCTCCTTTCTGAGGACTTCTGAGCTCTTCAGAGGAAAGAGCTGGGTGTTCTGAGCTCTCTGTAGGTCCACCCTGTTTACCACGTATATGGAAAGTTAATTTAATGTGTGGCTAAGGATGGGCTGGCAGAGCTCCTTCATTTTAAGCTTCATTTGCAATGTACCCCATGCTGCTGGTTTTGCCTTAGGGAGGTAACTGGGTACAAGGGGTTGCTGAATACACAGACCCTACAGTTGCTGGTCTTTGCAACAGCTTTTGAGGGAAATACTGTAGCAGTGCTGTGCTGTTTGCCTTTGTCAGGTAGCTCTATCTTGCACTAGGAACCAAATAGGATGTGACCCATTTACCTGACTTACACTATAAAATCACAAACTCAATTTCCTCATTTTCATCCGGGGCTGAATCTGGAAACTGATTTAGGCATGGGGTGTGTTAAAAAAAGGGTGAAAAAATGGTACCACTCATTAGTCTCACCCTTTGTAGTCACTGTCAACATGAATGGCATCAACTTGTCCAATGTGGTTTGCACAGCAGGTGCAGTGATTCATGTATCACTGAAGGGCAGGTTCAACTTCCTAACCCTGGAAGCTGGGAATTCCCCCAAAATAACAAGTTATTGCAGAAAGTAAAGTGATTTTGTATTTAACTCCCAGTGCAAGGTAAGCTCTTGACAAGACTAATTCCTTAGGCTGTGGTTTGCTAGTACACCGTCTCCAGATTCAAGCGGCGAGGGTTTATTCACAAGAGAAAAATGAAACAGTGTGAAAACGTTTTTCCTTATTGATGCAGGATTAAGAAACTATTGCAAAATATCCTCTTCTGTGACTAGCTGCTGCTGCTGCTTACATTAATTACCCCTGGATGTATGCACGAGCTGAACACGGTATGGGAAAACTTGCACAATTCCGTCGTACCTCATACAAACTGCTCTATGTTTTCACAGAAACAATCTAATACCACTGAGTATAGCTAGAAAGTCTCTGCTGCCATGAACATTTGCATCTAAAGTCCTTGCTTAGCCAACCACAAATAGAACTAACGCTGCTCACATGCAATTAGCAACACGAAAAGCCAAGTTTTTGATGCTAAAATCCAAAGAGTTACCTGAACTTTCAAAGTAACAGTTTTAATTGCTCTTTCCTTAAAAGAAATCCTTGCAGGTCATGCTTTAATGGCCTGTGGAAGTGGCATCTTCACCTGAAAGTAAGCATGACACCACTACATAAAAGAGTGGATGCCATCCACTGTACCAATGGACAAGGGTAAGGCTTGACTTTGAGTCTAGATGGGATTGATTGTCTCGGCCAGTTAAGCAGTTCTGTAACTGAGTAACTCTGAAGGGCAGTGAGAAAACAAAGGGAGGATTAAACTGCAGAGACACAGTCAGGAGGTGTCATTTCTGTAGACAGCTTCTAAGGATACCTGCCATCTGCTGTTCCAAAGGCAAACCAACAAAATCAAGACAAATGTTCATCAGACCCTCTTTGAGCTATTTGTTAAGGATAAGACATTTCCTGCAACGAGGGCGTAGTATTGGCCAGGTAAGGAAACCTCATTGCCAACACTGCAGCCTCCTACTGACTCCATTTGCACTTTGCAATTAAGCACTGGGATACTGTATCTTTAATTGGTGAACAGACATGAAGAACACATAGATGCTCCTACTTCATCCGATTGCTTCTCCTTTTGGCTTCACTGTCATCCAGCAGTGAAGAGAGGATCTGGTAGGCCTGCGGCTGCTGCGGTCCTCCACGTTTGATCTTGATGCTGGTTCGCAGAGGGGAGCCCGGGATCACATCCTGTCCAGAGCCTGGCTCAATGGAAGATAAAGAGTCTGTAAGGAAAGAAAGTCACGGGAGAGCGCTATTTAAAAGGGGAGGCTAAGGAAAGAATAAATGGGCCTTCTGGATGGTACCTCTCCTGGAAGAAGTGTCGTCCCTCCTGTAGTATCTCTGTCCAGTAAGTGATTGTGGAGCTACACATCTCCCTGCTCCTAGATTAGGTCTTTTCCCTCTGCTCTGTCTAAGCCCTAGGCTAAGTGCACTTCCTGCATGAGGCCCAGCAGGTCACAGAATCATAGAATGATTGATAGAATTATAGAATGGTTTGGGTTGGAAAGGACTTAAGATCATCGAGTCCCAGCCCTCTGCCACGGGCAGGGCCACCTCACACTAGACCATGTCATCCAAGGCTCTGTCCAACCTGGCCTTGAACACTGCCAGGGATGGAGCATTTACCATTTCTCTGGGCACTCTGTGCCAGTGCCTCACCACCCTCACAGGGAAGAAAAAAGGTCCTGTTCTCATTTGTAACTCCATTTATAAAGCACTGTTCTTCTATTGATTATAATTTGCTTGGGGTGTAGCTGCTAGTCAGCACTGCCCACAGCCTCCTGCTATTGAAGGATGGGGCTAAGTGGTCATCACTGGGAAGTGATGCTCCTGGGGGTTTAAGTACTATTTCACTCCTTGTAAAGGAGGATGTTTTGAGGCACTGAAAAGATTGAACAAAAGGATTGATCCACCCTAAGACAGAGCCAAAATTAGCAATAAAGCTGGGAATAAATCTTAGCTGCCCAGTCTCCCAGTGTGTCCCACAGAAACACACACCTCCTCTTCCTAAAGCATCCTGCCCCATGAAGCTAAATACACATTTGACTACGGCCACTCTTCTGTTTTCCCAGCAGTCAGCAACAGATGCTGATAAGTCAGTGCTGCCTCGTCATTTTCAATGCCCCAGCTGCTTCTTCCTTTTGCCTTCAGATGTGGACCTTTGCTTGTTTCCCTGCCAAGAACCCAACCTCCCAAGCCAGACACCCAGCCGTGGTTCGGCCCCATGAGGCAGCATTTGTTTCAAGTGAGGATCTGGCTGCTGTGTTCACTGGAACTAACACTGCCAAACAATTTGGGCTTTTGGGTGCCCTGCTGGGCTGCTCTCTGCAGTTTGCTGGGCCAGACAATCTCCACGTGCCCTCCCGTTGCAGGGAAGAGGTTTGTTTGCTGGTATGTTTTGCCTTGTTGCTTGGGTGGCTGCGGCTTTTGAAACCACACTGGATTGGGAACTTCCTTGGGAAAATGAGAGCATGCGATTGGCATTTCTGCATGGGGCTGTAAAGCTGGGCTGAGTTGGGCTGCCCAGGAACCCATGGTCAAACTGGTAACACCTACGGTGGGAGCATCACCAGATAGTTGGTGCTGGGTGATTTAAACCTGTGTGGGGAGGTCTGTGCTCAAGGAAATCCTATTTTGTTATTTTACGTCTTTTTCTGTTTAACCATATACATACACAGGGATGAACATAACTGCACAAGATAAAAATACCTTATTTTCCAAGTTCTCTTTCTAAACAGTACTTTTGTAGGGCCTAAAATATGTCACTATTAAAGAATGGAACTGTCTCACAGACTAAAAATATCTCTTGCTTAGTAATAATCTATAGTTATTGGATAAAAAGGAACTATTTAAAGTCACACAATATAGGTGCTTAAACATGGCCTTAACTACACTGTACAAATAAAAAGCCACTTAGTTTTGCTGGTGCAGTTACACCCATATAGAAACATACCTGGGTATAAATAACTCATCTCCATCCCAAGCAGTAGCAGTGTCAGTATAAATAGTTTGCCAAAATGCCTGTTTCAAAATAAACAGCAGCATTTGCCTTGTTGCTCCTCTATTGCCAAATAAATTGTAAAAGAAAGGTAAACCAGGCAGTTCTGCAGGGGTACAGTTGGGTGAATGCCCCAGTCCAAGCCCCAGTGGCTACAAAAGCTTCCTTTTTGCTTTATACTAGTATAAATGGATGTACAAAGTAAAAGACAATGGAAAGCTAGGCCTTGGGTCCTGTGAACAGGCTGCACTGTCCTTATGGACTGGGCTCCCCTTCCCCTCTTGCCTGGCTGGCCATGGACTGCTGCTGGTGAGCTAGTGGGCATGTTCCTGGTACCTCCACCATTTCAGAGCAAAGCAGCATAAAACCATCTTTTCCTGCTCTCGATGTATAAAATCCAATGAAAATATGAATCAAACTGGGATTAATGCAGAGGTAAGGTCAGGGTGACTGTGGTTAAATCATGTGTTTGTGATTCGTGGTTTCCCAAAAAGCTTAAGCCGTTGCTGTCTATTGCTTTTGAAAATAGTACTTTGGGCCTCTACAAGACACGTGGCTATTGAACGATGAAGAGCAGTGCAGACACCCAAGACAGCTCAGCTGTACAACAGCCCCACACACCAACACTGTTTGGGCTTTGAAGTGCCTAATAGCATTTGCATTTTAGTGCTGTGCTGGCTCCAGGAGGGGCCTGTGGGCTCTCAAGCAGGAGCTGTACTGCATGGTAATAGATGCACTTTAAGTCACTTGCTTAGCAACTACCGGATATTTCAGCTCTTTAGCATTTTCACAGGTTAAATCAATATCCAAAGGCCATTTCATAATAAAAGAGGATGTTGATCTGAAGGAAGGTGTGAGCAGCTCTGTTTACAAGTGAGGCCAGGAATGAGGTTCCATGTGTCAGGGAGAGGATAAAAAAGAAAATACTATGGGACTTGGTCAATGCCAAGGAACAGTAACTGAGGCTTGTGTCTCACAGGCTGGGGTAGTAAGTGTGTGTCTGAGGCGACAGAAATTACTGTAGTGATAGGACAAGGGGTAACGGGTTAAAACTTAAACAGGGGAAGTTTAGGTTGGATATAAGGAGGAAATTCTTTCCTGTTAGGGTGGTGAGGCACTGGAATGGGTTCCCCAGGGAGGTTGTGAATGCTCCATCCCTGGCGGTGTTCAAGGCCAGGTTGGAAAGGGCCTTGGGTGATATGGTTTAGTGTGAGGTGTCCCTGCCCATGCAGGGGGGCGGAACTGGGTGATCTTAAGGTCCTTTCCAACCTGAACTATTCTATGATTCTATGAAATTGGCACAGTAACTTTTGGCAGCTGTGAATTGATCCTCAAGTACCCCAGAGGGAGAACCTTGATCTGCAACAATCACATCAGCCCATATACTGGTTAAGGGAAGGAAACACTTGTTAAGGGATGATGTCCCACACTGTACCAGCGATGGCAGAGCAAACAGCCTCAGCAGAAGACTTAAAATCTATCTGAATGAAGAACACGTGAGGCTTTGCTTAAATCTAACTTTGAAAATAGGTTTTATGTACGTTATAATCACAAGACGTTCAGGGATCACTGGTTTCAGGGTACACGGTAGCAGTGTTTGGGCTTTCTCTGTAAAATAAAACAAGGGCCTCGCTGGTGTTAAAAGTCACTTGGAAGACACTGTTAACAGGATGAAATGATCTGGCCTAAAGACTCGAACAAGTAGCTCCCTAGGAAGCTGGTAGATGATCTGTGCCACATGGCCTGAGCTGCTGCTTGTGACTTGGCTCTCTGAATTGTAATGAAAAATCACTGGGATGGGGTGGAGGGGAAATCAAGCATCCTTTAAGTCATGCTGGGTACCTGGCTTTGAAAACCCACCTTAAATAGATACTAGAGAGACAGGAGACTGGGGGGATGTTTAACCGTCAGGCAGGTGCCTGAACAAGCCCTCAGTTGTCTACAAATGAACACCTCAGCCACACTTACTTACCATGAATTCCTATCATGTGCTCAAGAATCAACACCCTCTCGGCTAAAATCTTCAGAGCTTCTCGAAGCTGTTGAACACCTTCCCCCTGCCAAAAGGGAATGAAAACTGACATTGGAATATGATGCAGAATAGGCTGCTTGTTCAATGTAGCCTCCATAACACCAAACTATGCAGTGTAGACATTTATAAATGGTAACCTACAGGGGTTAAGTAGGAATGCAGGAGAGGTCCCTACTTAAACAACTCTGCAGAGTTTGCAGAGTCTTCGGCCCAAAGCCATCCTCTTCAGACTGGTTCTTAATTCTGCAGTGGGCCAAACCCAGGGTGTAAATTCCTGTCACAGAATTCCAGACTGGTTTGGGTTGGAAGGGACTTTAAAGCTCATCCAGTTCCAAACCCCTGCTATGGGCAGGGACACCTTCCACTAGAGCAGGTTGCTCATACTGCCTCTCAAAGAGCTCCCATGCTGCCTGAAGCCTGCCCACATATGTCCACATAAACTCAGGCTGTAGTTTGTTGCCCAGAGAACACGGTGAGAAGGACAGCTGATAATGTGGCCAAGGAAACCTCAGAGACCAGGATTTCTAGCATGTATTCAGTTCAGACGTAAGGTTCACATCATTGCTTGCTCTGCGCTTAACTGTGGACACAACCCTTGCCCCACAAACCAGTCTATGAAAGGGAATATGGGTGAAGGATAATGAAGAGGCAAAAAGGAAAGTAAAATAGCAGTAGGGATGCACACTTACATCAGCACCTTTGTCACCTTCCTCACCCTTCTTGCCTGGTTCACCCTAAAACAAGAAAGAGATGTTTGTTTTCATGGGACTCAGGACCTGTCCCAGACCACCTGCAACCCTTCCCTCCAATGGATCAGATTAAAGGCAAAAGTGTTTCACCAGCAGAAAACAAACTGACTCTGGTGCTTCGTGCCAAGGGCCAAAGTGCTCTCATGAGCTCTGTCCTGGCTCCCATCAGCTTCCCAGGAGGTCGTCACCATTTCTGACACTGAGGCACTTGGCCAGGAGTGGCCAAGCTGCAGGAAGGGCTGGCTGACATGGCCTGGGCCATAACAAGATATATACATCTCATGAAGCTCTCAATGAGCGATGCTTTAGGCTAAAGCACTGAGATAAAAACACTGCTTCCTTCCCCCAGACATGCACACGTTCATCTTTGCTTTAGAACATAAACCCCCCTGTTCTGCTTCCATTAGTCACATCACCTTCTGCCTCTGAAGACGCTCATTAAGCTTTTCTTGAACAAAGATCCCAATGTGCTATTGGTCTGCTGTTCCACCCCCTGACCAGGAAGTTCATGCATTTCCAAAGGACAGATGACATGGAGAGATTAAACCACAAGCTAAACATGTATTCCTGGGCTCCTCAAACTTGTTGGACATCCCTGAGATACTTGCAAAGCAGGGTGGGTACGGGAGGAAAGACTCAAGAAAAGGTTGTGTACATCATACAAAATGATGAGGTGGAATTAAGGAAAAGAGAAAAGAAACCACACAGAGCACAGAGCATCCCTCTCTGGATGCTGCCAGCCAAAACCCCAGCTTGCTCCACTAACTCACTTTCAGCCAACCTTCGTGTCCACAGGTTTGTTTGTACCCTAGCTATATGTGCCAGTGCAGGCATCTCCTGTGTGCAACTGCTCAGGTATTGTCTCATTTGGAGCTATCTCTTAATGTCATTAAAGGGTTTCCAGCTCAGCTTGGCAGACCAAGGTGCAAGAGGGCGTTAGAGCAGGTGATGTATTTTGAGTTGTTTCACAGTGCCCACCTTTGGGCTCTGGAAGTGCCAGGAACCTCCTGAGGCCTGGGGAGGGCTTCTGGCTGCCAAGGTTTGGCCGGAGGGGATCTCCAAGCAAAACACATCTCCTCTGTTGGCATGATGCCTTCCTGAGCACGGCATTCCAGCACTGTGCTTAGGAGGCAGGGAGACTGTGGTTCATTTGTAAAGGAATTTGTTAAGGTGAGCTCTCCCATTGAACAAATGTCTAAGCTGGAGACACCTGACCTAAGCATTGCATCTGAGAGAGCTGGTGGGACCAGCTGCAGTTCAGCTTGGTGGTATCTGTGGTGCCAGGCAGGCACCAAACCCATCTGAGTCTTGCACACACCCGCAAGTACATCACTTACAGGAAATCCCTTAATGCCCCTCTCTCCAGCCAGACCTGCTTGTCCCTGTTGGAAATAAAGTAAGTGTCATTAGGAGATAGTTTTCCATTTGACAAGAACATTGTGTCATTTTTACTAGTGGAATTAAGATGTCTTTATGAAAAAGAAAAATCCTCTCCCTTGACATTATCACTAAGACAGCAAAAGGGGGTTACGGTTTTCTGTCAAGTATCAGCTCCAAATCCCATCACACCCTCGAGAAGTTTGGTTCAATACAGAGCTCCTCAGCTCAGTACCTCTTGTAAAACGATTAGCAAATATCTGAAATTTACAGCAGTCCTTACATTACACCAGGAAGGAATTTGGCTGGAGATTTGTGTCTTACAAAGATACCACATCCTTCTTGCTAGTAAAACTGATGGGCTGATGCTGCCCCAGACAGCAAACGGAGCCCAGGACTCCCACAGAGCGCTGATTTAATCTGCCTCCTGCTCCACACACACATCACTGCCTTAACCCCAACAGCTACTGATGAAAACACACCTACAGTATTTTGGTTGCTTTGTTTCTTTTTCCTGCTGTGCTAATTTTCATGTTGTTTTCAGTGTGGGGCTTTTTGATCCTTTTGAAATGATCTGTGTTGGTTTGGGGTGGAATGTAACGTGCCATCCAACTGAGCATCTTTCTTCCCCCTACCTTCCTTCCCAGTGTTGGCCTCCCACCCTGGAGCACACTGGGGCAGGGCAGAATCCCTGACCAGGAGAACAGCTATGGATTATTTAATGTGAAAGCAGGAGCTTGGGAAGAGGAACCAAAATGTAAAAGCATCTTTAGAAATCCACTGATGACAGTCACATACTTAACCTGGCTCTTCTCCCCTAGGCACACAGAAACAAACCCATCCTTTTGTCCCCTCACAAACTACCTAGCTGGTGGCAGCTTTTTGTAGTGTCTGCCAGAAAGGAAGAGCTGCTTTGTATAAACTCAATGGGCCCAGAGCATCTACAAAACATTACTATGGAGAGCTGCACAGTGCTCGGTGAGCAGCTTAAGTCAGCACTAAGCAAAGGCCCATTGGGACATAAAGAGCACTGGCAGGAAGGCCCAGCTCGTCAGGTGCTCTGAGCATCTTCAAAGGGAAATACTTGGATTCTGCACAGGAGGGAGTAAGGCCTGTGAAAAAGCACAGGCAAGAGACAAATCACAGAGAGGAGACATAACAACGCACTCAAAATACATAAACAGACTGTTCTCTATGGCTAGGGGGAACAGAAAGGATGTTATCAGCTTAAAGGGGATCAAAGGATATTTAGGCTGGATGTTAGAAATGTCTTTTATCCCAGGCCCTCACTAGCTGTACCTCTGAAGACTGCCTGGAGATGATGTGGTGTATCCCTCCCTGGCACTGTGTAAGAATAAGATGAAGAGAGGCTGATGTGAGCAGCACACGTACAGATGTGCCATCCAGGGGATGCGCTCAGACTGCTTCAGGTCTCTTCTACATCTGTTCTCTCTGAGATTAAGCAGGAAGAATGTATAATAACATTTTCTCAAATCTCAATAGATACTGTAAACCCTCCTCTGCTTTTCTCTGCAGCTGCACAGCTCCTCCGCTCTGTGTAAAGCTAGCCCTAATTTGTATCCACCAAACCCAAAATTGCAGCGTGTAGTTGTCAAAACCAGCATTCAAATTCACACTCACAGAAGACAAAAAGCACACAAAGCATCCTACAGAAATCCTGCCAGAAAAAGCTACTGGCTTCACTTTCCATGTTAAGAGAGCCAGGACAGGAAGCCTCATTTATTTGTTATATTTAGCAAGATATTTTGATATTTGAAAAATCTCATTAGTCCCCAGCCTAGAAGGAGAGTCACAAATCTGAGTATCTACCATGGAGGGAAGAAAGGCAAAGCCTAAAGGGTTTGTCTGTACTGAATGGACACAGTCCAACAAAGCTTTTGTTTCAAAGTAAGTGTAGCCTTAGCAATATGGTCAACCACAAACTAAAGCAAAATGGTAACTGAATCATTGAGGAAGAGCTCTTATCAGTTTCCTGGATGGAAACTTGACACTTTGCCATAGACCAAGCCTTTTCTTCTTAACTGAAAATCAACATTTAATGGCAATGAGCTGCAGGCAGTAACCTGTGCTGAAACCTCATCAGTTATGCTTTTGCTATCTCTATATATATTTATATTCTAGTCCCATCAGCCTGCAGTCTATTTGTAAAGCCAATACATGCCCAAAGTGGCTGCTCTGCACAAGGAAACTGTTATTAAGAAATTACTAACAGTCACTTAAAATGTTCTCTGTCTTCCAGGGAGCTGCAAGTCATTTTGTACAGAAGACCAGGGACCAGGCACCCAAACCAACGTGCAAAGGTACTAAAGTAAAACAGAGCTTTTTAAAAGCATGTGTACTCCATCCTCGGATATCTGCTGCTCCTCGACACGAGGTGCTTCAGGAGGGAATGAAACAAGGACTTGCTCTCCTTGCACAGAGTCTGCACAGAGGAGCACAGTTTAAGTCTGTTGCTGGTTATTTGCCTGAACTTGGGAAGCCATCAAATTGGATTTGTCCGTCTTACCTCTTGCAGACTTCCCTGTGTCATTTGGATTGGAAGAGTGAGCAGAGATGAAGAAAAGGAGACGCTGCCATAGGGGAAAAGTGTGTAATCTACAGCCACCCATTTACAGGTGGTGACGTCCTTGTTCACCTCCAGCTATGAGACAGTGGCCCTGGAAAAGGGAACTATTTTCCTACAGCTGTGGCACAAGGTTGTGTCAGCGCAGCCACCACAGAGACAGCCATCATTTTAGAGGTACTAACCAGTATTTTACACCTTATCTTTCTTCCTTTGACTCTTCTACGCACTAGGGTCTTGGTGATTGCCACAGTCCATCTGTGCCCAATTTTACATTGCTGAACAATCCTCCACTAGGTACTACATTCTTAAATGATTTTATGCTCCTAGTGTCATTCAGAGGAGATCTCAAAGACCATGGCCTTTTGGAGAGCAAGCTGACCAGAAGCAGCTGGAAGTCCAAATGCCATTTTGAAACACCCCCGGTGCTGGACTGGGAAGCTGACACATATATACATTTGTTAGATTTTGATCTGGTGTTTCCTAAACTTCACTAGTTTGGAAATAACATTCAAACAGCCTTTTTTTATATGCTTAGTTATTAGCACTTGACAACCCATCAAGAACTCAGGTATAACACATAAAGATATTAACAACATGAATTCAATATTCCAAATGTATTAAGAACATCATTTGACCTGGGGAATGGCTTTGGTTCAGGAAAAGTCTGATGAGCATTTTATGCCTTACTGCCCCAGAAAAAAAGAGTTCAGTTAGACCACTCAAAATACTCCACAGTAAAAGAGCTGTGGTTGGTAGAACAAAGTTGGTCTGCACAAGCCTTTAAATACCAGGTATTTGGTACCTGAATCTCTTTAGGGAACACCAGACTTTACAAGCAATTCAACCCTTTATCTGTACAGTAAACCCTCATCTTCTTTCTTGCAGAAGACCTAGAAACTCTACTATCTATCATTCATGGCTGCAGTCCCACAGAATCTGAAAGACCTCTGTTGAATATAACCTGATATATTATAACATCTCCCCAGATGTGGCTGGGAACGTCTCTGTGTCTGTAAAACCTTACTCTCTCTCCTCGGTCTCCTTTGGAGCCCTTTGGTCCAGGTTGTCCTGGAGAGCCTGGTAAGCCCTAGAAGAGATGCAGAACAAGAAGGAATTACTTTCTACTGTGTATCCTTTGAGTAGGTGTAGTGAAGACATTTCACAGTGATCCTCAGCTCCTGCAAATCTCAGACACCCATTAAGCAATTGGGCCGGATTCTCTTTTACCCTCAAGCAAAACCAGTGGAAGCTCTGTTCACAGATAGCCTGAGCCCTGTAGTTCCTGCATATCCCTCTGTTTGAGGCTTTGAATGCACTGCAGGCTACTGATGGAACATATTTTAGGGATCAGTATGACAGGATAGTTCCTGTTCTCAGTTACCAAGAAGAAATGAATACACAGCTAGTACGGTTAGCTTAAAAATCCCCACTACTTTCCCCCTCTTCATAATCACCTCAGTGGGTAGCACGCACAGGCACACATACCTGGAAAGTAATTGGATTGTGCAGTGAAAATTATTTTGAAGCTGTTCACTCACCCTAATAAACAATTTTCAAATTAAGCCCAATCTCTACTAATAATTTTGCTCCCTGGGTTGAACAAATCTATACCCCAGCCACCAGTGGGGAACAAGGGCACAGTCTCCAGATTTCTACTGATTGAACTGCTTTGCAGAAATCGATCCAACTTCTTAACTTATCCACCCGCTGTAAACCAGCCAGGGAGAGAACAATATTGTTTGTTTATATCCAGCACATCAGCTCCCCACGACCGCAGGCAAGATGTGACTTGCACATTACCTTGGAGGCTGCAGCAATGAGACCGCTGCTCTGCTCCAGAGCACTGGTGATTTGAGCCAACCTGCTTAACAGCCCCCCGAAACCCCCACCTCCGAAGAAATGGGCTTTCTAGGCAGAGCCACGAGGAGCCTCGACATCTGGTAAGTGGCCCAACAGGGTTGGACAGAAGTGTTTTACAGGTCTAAAGGAGAGCATTCTCCCAGTTTCAGCTGCTCACCATTACCATGCTGCTCCTTGCCTCAGCCCCACCACCAAGCTGCAAAGTGACCTGGCCTCCAGCTTCACTACATCTCCCCTGGGACCACAACAAATTCAGGAACTCAGGCCTGGTTTAGGAAGTTAATGAGGACTGCTACATGAGGTAGGGCACAAACCAGACTTAGCTCTATGTCAAACATGCAGCATGAACAGAGCTTAAGTGTCCATAAGCATCCTTTGCTCTTGGCAGCTCTCAGCAGTGACTTTCAGGGCCACTCAAGAAGACTGAATTCCACATGCTGAATTGTAAAATATAAAAGATTTAGAATGTGTGCTGCATGTGCAACAGCCAGACTCTACTGGAGAACCTATTTATGAATTGTGAATTACCTTCTATTTAATCACGTCAAACTGCATCTGTCATTTTGCTGCCAAATTTCCCACTGTGTTCATCTCTATCTGGAGTTTCTCATCATTCTCCAGAGCATTCCCTAACTGAAATGGTTCTGCTACACTGGCAAACTTTCACTAACCTGTTCGCTGTTGCTTCTTCAAAATGATTAATAAATACCTAGTACAAATCTCCTTTCTCTATTTTCAGCAATTCCAACCCCCTTCTTACCGGGATCTAAGTCACATCCCTCTGCTAAGTTACTTAAGCTCTTCACTTTTCTCTCCTTAGTCATGTTAGATTCCTTTGAAATACTTGATGTAACTGGTTTACCTCCACAATAAGTAACACTCTTCCCAAAACTGGAGTCCTTTTGTATCAGCCAACCACAGCTTGGAGTAGCTTGGCAGTTCCTTTCCATTTAACCAGCTTTTTCCCTTTGCCCTTCTACCATGAATTCTTTTGAGTGAGTTTAGCACCCTCCATTATTATCTCCCCTCTCCACAATTTTTGTATTGATAAATAATCAAACTGAGGGGAATTTGTGATATTTTTCTTGAAAAGAAAGTGCTATTTCTGAAAAAGGAGGCTCAACAGATTCACTTTGGTGAATTCCCATTGATGCATTTTTGCTCCCTCTCTGTATTCCACAGGAAATGCAGTATGTTTCTATCACTGTGTTAGTAAAGCCCATGTCAGATCCTTTGCATCAACTCAGGCCACAGTGAAATGGTTTGACACAGAAACAGTAATATGTGTTGTTATGATCAAGGGAGCATCTAAGCATCTAGAAAGTGCAACCATTTCAACCTCTCAACACAATTCAGAATAGAAAAAAGGTATTAAAATAACAGAATTTCATGGGGAAAAAACATCAGATCTAAGACTTATAACCTACTCTCTCTCCCTTTGTACAATGAGATGTTTTTCACCCAGCCCCTGACTTCTGCCCCTTCAGCCACTCTGTCCCAAAGCGCTAAAGCACCTTACTTGTGATCCAGGGGCTCCGACAGGTCCTGGTGGCCCTTTGGGTCCTGATGCTCCTGGTGGCCCTGGTGGGAATCATAATTTGAGACAATTTTAAGGAGACTTAGAAGGAAGGACCTTAAATTCCAAACAGATGCACTTCCTTTCATTGTTCTGCTTCATCTCTCAATGGGCAAGAGCCATTCATCGATTACACGATTACAGCATTCACACACTGGATTGTTAGATACCCACATCCTGATACAACATACCCCTGTGCCCTAGGGAAGACATTAGAGCTCTGGGAGGCAAAAAGGGTGAAAACAGGAAGGATGTTTGTAACACGCTTCATTTCCATTGTTTAAAATGACAGCTTTTAAACTAGGTGCATGAAACAGCTACATCAGAGCAAGATACTGAAGCTGGTGTTTCTGGAACAGCCTTGTAGGTGGCACGGGAAGTCCACAAGCCTGCTCTGGTCTGTCTCTCTGGTAGTGTCAGAAAGCTGATGATGACCATGAAAGGGACAGCATGAGAGGCTGACTGTGGCAAAGCCAAGCTCTCTTTTATTCTTTGCTCACTCCACTGGCCACAAATCCTTTTCAGGTCTGCACCACAGAAAAGCCTGTTTCTAGGGTGAGTTAAACGCTGTCTAAACCAGGTCAAGTTGTTCTGCACAGTCACTTAACAGATCCATCCTGTTAGAATTCTGAAAAATAATTATATCTCCACAGTAGCTGTTAAATTACACCTGCAAGACAGGGTATTTGCTTAGTCTGAACTTAGCAATAGTCCTCTCTGCTTTAGTTGTCACAACCCTTGAGATGAAACAATGTGGACATTATACACAAAGTGCAGCTGAATCAGCCTCGATCCTTAATGCACCATACAAATGCTTAAGTCAAAGAATAAAAGAATTGCAGGATAAATTAAAGGCCCTCAGAATGTAAGGAAAAGCCTTTTCTGCAACTAATGGGAGTTCACTCCTAAATATGCATCATACAGGGAAGTGCTGATGTCTGCAGGAATACTATCATTTAAGCCACCCATCAGCACAGAGAAACAGACTTGCCACTGAATTTTCATCCCAGATTCTGATTCTCTTATACTGGTGAAAATCTGGAGTAGCTCAAACCAGCTCCAGAGTTCTGCACACACATCACAGCAGCTGGGCAGATCCTGCTCAGTGGAGCTCTACAGCAACAGGACAGGATTGCAGCAGTGGTGAGAACTCTGCTCTCATAAAGGAATTCACAGGACAGCCCATTCTTAAAGACAGTCTTTAATTATTCCCTTCTCAGGGTATCTCCTGCTAAAGGTAGAACTATCTGCCACTATCAGCAGATAAGAAACCTGCTTACTTCTTGCCACCCTTCCCAGTCCTGGACCCACTGCTCTCCTGTCCTTCAAGTGGGGACCACTTGATTTCCCTGCAGGCATCCCACAGACCTCTCAGTTTCTTTTGCTCATCTTCCCCATCATTACAGCCTTGCAGCTCAATTGAGTTTATTACCTGGTGGCCCAACAGGGCCTGGGGCTCCCCGTGGTCCTGGCAGGCCAGCCATGATGGTGTCGATGACGGTGGAGGCCAGCTGGGGTTCTCCATCTGTGTCAAAGAGCAGCGCAGTGAGTGTTGAGCTGCCCAGTCACAGCAGGCAGGACTTCTCTCCAAAATCCTTTGGCGCCTGTTGCTGGCCAAGGGCAGGCAGTGCAAAATCAGGGCTCTGGAGCAATCGCCTTTTGCTTTCTAAGGCTGTGTCCCCTGGACCTGCAGAGGTGCTCATCTCACCTCTGATAACCCCAAGGAAGTCCTTTCTGTTAAAAAAAAATGGTGTTCCTGCACACCTATATCATCCTACCTTTGAAATGCCAAAGCACATCTGGCTCCCCGAGCAAACATGGACCTGGAGCTCTCTCTTGCCTGGCATCAGTGAATTGCTGAGCCAAGCTGGCCAGTCCAGCACATCCCCACCAACCCAGCGAGCTCACCCTCGGGGTGGAAGGTATCGTGAGGTGCAAGGATGCAGGAAAGCCTGGACAGAGGGACAGCCCGGGCAGAGGGTGTGCTCTGCTCCCTCCACACACTCAGGGAACTCTCCTGCCATTGAGGATTATTTCAGGTGTTCAACTGGCCAGCTTGTGCAGAACCCCTGATTTCTGGGGAACGGATGGAAATAGGAGTGGAGCAGGGAAGGGGAAGCCATCAGCAGGAATTGGAGGAATTCTGTGCTTTTACACATCTTTCTCAGTCCTCTCCAGCTGCAATGAAAAATCAGCATCCTGTAGCTGTCCTCATCTTCCCTCATCTTTAACCCAACAGGCTTACCTCTTCAGCGGGGAACTGAATAGGAAAAACCACAACTATGTATAAAAAAGCAAACCTTATCAGTCACTGCAATTCCAAAACCATATTCAACAACCCCATTCCCTATGGACCTGTACTATACCATACTAGTTAGCAATCTGTGGGGGCACCTGCATGGCAGCATCTTTCATTTGAACATCCCACAACACTATTGACAGCTGTGAAAACGTGGGGGCAAAAATTCCATGACCAAAGACAACAATATCACAAAGCAGGGAAGGCAACCCCCATGTCCTAGTGTTACTAAGGCATGCAATCCACTGTCCTGACCAGTGCTGTAGGACCAACAACATATTCCCTGTTGCATTTAACGTGGATGAAGATGTTGGCTCCTTGTCACTGGCACACCAAACCCTCTGAAAAGTCAATTTTCCATAGCTGGAGGCCACAATGCAGGAAGAATTACTCTGCAGAGTTCAGCCCAAAGGACATAAGGTAAAACCTCTGGAAATGTTAGCAGACACATTATGAAGCCTCTTCAACTTCTGGAGTGTTGGCAGTGATGGAGAGGACTTTCAAGCTCGTTGTTTGAAAGCAGATCCTAGGCAAAACTGAGAAATCTCTTTAACTGCCAAGGATGACAGTACATCTCTGGGATGCCTTCCCGGCAGCAGAACAGCACAAGACCTAACCCAGATCCCTCCGAGAACCAAAGCCTGAATGTGAACAGGTCTTTATTTGAGTATTGCTTCTAACCCCATCCATCTTCCCTTCTTCACAGCCCTGAAACTAAACAACTGAGGCTGTTTTTATGTTCAGAAGGAAAGGTACCCAAGTGAAGTGTGTAATCTAATTAATGTTTTATTTGACCATGTCAAAATCCATCACAGCTGGGGAGCAAGATGAAATTGGGAAATGAGCATCAAACAGCAGTGAAGGCATTAACAGTTGCAGAGCCTTTTGTTTTTAAAGAAAAAGTGGTCAACAAAATCAAACGCACATTCACTGATGGGGGGAGAGGATGTGCTGCAGATAACCAGGATTTCATTACTGCTGGAGGTAAGTCAGGGATAAAGACGGGTTACAAAACATTCCAGCTAAGTGGGACGTTATTGCAACGACAGTCACACCCACAAACCCACCCATCCTGACATTTGTCTTTAGTTATTTATGGAAGGTGATTCCATAACTGTGACACAGAGGAGAGCTCTGCTCAACAGCCCTTGAGCTCAGTAGCTCCTGATTTGGCCTCTGCAGCACCAGGAGTACGGACATGCAGGATACCTACAGCAGCTCCTTTCTCGCCTGCCTGGGCAGGCAACGCTCAGATCACGATTACCTTCCAGGATGGGCTCTGAATGAAACATACTGTGAATGAAAAGGGATTGAAGTGTGTTAAAACACAACCCTCATGTTTTTTAAGGAGCTTTCTCCATAATCCTATAAAGCAGCAGGAAGAACCTGTATTTCCTTATAAACTCCCCTCTCCTTATAAACAGGAGGACACTCTGAGGCTCTCTGCAGGTGGAGGCTTTACAGCAGCCACAAAATAGCTCCAGAAAACAAATGGTAGCAGGAGTCTTCCCTTGTCAACCATCTCCTGCTGACTCGGGCTCAAACACTAGATTTTGTTTCAGTGCTTCTGGAGGTACCAAAGCAGGAGGCAGACAAGTGCCTGCCTCATTTGGGAAGCCCCTGATGTGCCATTTGCTCCAGGAGCTTTCCAACTCCTAGCCAAGAGGAAGCACACAGCCAGTCTGACCTGGTCAGACACTAGCACCGGCTTTCTCTGGGAAAGGGCATAAACATCCTGCAAAGGGGAAGCCTGAAACAGCACAGAAATGCCTTGAATGATGCAGTGAAACCTGCCCAGAGTGTCAAGGCATTGCAGAGGCATGAACATAAACAGCTTTGAAAGCAGTGGGTATGGTTTTCCAAATCAAGTACCTTTCACTTCATCCTCTCCTTTGCCTTTGCTTCCTCTGCTCTATTCATCCTTCCTCAGGAAGGACTACGCATGGCAGCGGGCACTGGGATGTCACTGCACAACCTCTGTTCAACACCCCTTTCACCAATGACCTGCTGGGCACACAGGCAAGCCTGCTGTGACTTGGTTCCCCCTGCTCTCCCTGCAAAACAGGCTAATGTTATCTCGCATGCCCTTTGCAAACTGAAATCTTTTGAGATGTAAGAAAATGTGGCCCTCAGAGTGAAAGTTGTGTTCTTTTCTTTTACTTTTCCCTAAATACCCTTAGTTTTAGCACAAGAAAGAGCACTCTACACCACACACCTGATCCATGCATTTTGAAGTGGCAGCAAGTGATCTTCGTAGCAGCAGCCTCAGCAACGGCATGTGGCAGTTTAGCTTCTGGCCTATGTTTGATGTTTCTGACTAAGGGATAAATTCCCTGTTACAGGCTTGATTTGTTGGGACAGGATGGAAATGAAGTAATCCTGTCTTCATTTCTTTCTGCTACCTGATCTGGAGGGAGACAACTGGGACCAATTCCTTTACCACAGCACAGTGAAACTGTGAGAAAATATGATCTGTCTTCCTGCTTTTGGCTTCTGGCTGCTGGTAAACACTGCCAACAGGAGCTTGCGATTAATAAAGGCACATGCAATAACCATGTTCAGGCAGAACCAAACACTGTACTACTAATAATGTGATACAGCTTTCTCACATCTCCATGAGTGCACATGCCCGTTACCAGGAATATGCTTCCCTCTGCTGTCAGCAGCTGGAATCTTGTGTTTATAGTTTTCAGATGTGCTCCATTCAAAATAAATAAATACATTTAAGAAAATCCTGCCCAGAATTTACAAGGCTCTTTATGGGTTGGAGGGATCAGCTTTCCACCAGCCTGCAGCAGGCAGAATCAGCCAACACAAGCAAAACGGTACATTTTGTAAGAAAATGGTCTTGATACTGCTGTAACTTTACCATGACCACACAGGTAACTTACACTTGCACTGAGATTTGGACTAAGAAAAGCTTTTAAACAAGAAAAATTGTTAGGAAGTTTTTGGGCTCCTTCTGCAAACTAAGAAATCCACCACAGCTATGGAGGAGAAGTACAGGGCTGCCCAGCGATGGAACAGTCACCATCTACTTACTGTCCTCAGGTCCATGTGGGAGCCTGCTGCTGCCCAGCACTGGCAGAGTTAATACAGATATTTATCCACTTCCCGTTTGGGGACAATACAGAGTTGACCCTTGTCACACATCAGCTGCTGATCAATGCCTTTTACGCTTTAATTTATCCACTACTTTGCAAGAAAGAGTTTAATTTAAAGGGTGGCTGGAGGGAGAGGGCAGCAGCAATACCCAAACCATCCTTAAGGATCCTTTGGAATTAAAGGTAGGATGCAGAATGGCACTACTTGATACGATCCTGTAAGGCAGTGAGGTGACAACTTCCTTGTCACAAGGCGTGAGCGCAGCAGATCAATCTACATTTTGTTAAAACCTTAGTACTGAACCACAATTCATTTCATCCTGCCCCAGGAACTGAACGTGAAATGGAGCTGTTAAAATCCTTCCCAAATTAAAAATACATCTGTTCACTTTCGGGAAAAGGAGCCTGGAAAGCAGAGTGGGAGGAAGGGAAAGGAGAGCCCTAGAAAACTGTCAGATATAGGGAGACTTCCTGATCCTTGGCTGTTACTAATACAGCTGAGCTTTGAAGCTGGACATGAGCAGAAGAGCTGGGAAAGAGGCACAGCTGAAGTCTGGGGAAGTTGGGATGGGAGACCCAACTGAGTTGGGGTTCCAGGAGTTTACAAGCCAAGGGGAGACACAGCTGAGCTCTGCTTTACCACATTATTAGATCCCAGCTACACAACACTGGACCAGAAGAATCCAGCCCAAATCTGAGAGCATTCAGATAAAAGTGCACAATGTGCCTCTTCTAGAAAGCCTTTCCCTGCCATGCACAACCCAAGTTAAATAAATAAACAAGTTAAATCCCCATAGGCTGCAAGAAACCCTCACACTCCAGTGACAGGGAAGGGATAGATCACCATCTTTCAAGGGCTTTCGAGTCTATAACTCTGTGGTTTGTGTGATGTGGGATAACACCAATGAACCAGAAATGCAGGTGGAAGACACATCTGTGGGGCAAAGAAACTGCCATTTCACTGAACCAGCACCTAACTGGCCAGACTGTCCTCTACCCATTTGTGTCTCACATCATGCTACCTGAGCTGTCAGTTCACTAGAGACCCTCTGCACAGCAGCTACGCATGATGGAAGCTTAAAGGACACCAAGTCACCTGCTCAAAGGTATGATGAACCCAGAAAACCAGGCACAGGGAACTGGTTTTAGAAGAGCAGTGACTCAGTTCCTTGTTCTGGAGAGGTGAATTCCTCCAGCTTCTAAGTCTTACGTGTTCCATCTTGAACATGAACTTCCAAGAGTGCCACGCCATGGTGGGAGACTGTTGAGGGCAGTCTCCTGGGAGGAAGGTGGGAGGAAGAGCTGAGCCTTCAGGAGGAAGTGCCTGCCCCCTCTGCTGGTGTACCAGGAAAAAAAAGGAATTGAGAAGACTTACTTTCTTTTTCAGCTGTGGGCTGGAGCGAGTAGAGAACTCCTTGTTGGAAGGTAAGAGGGAGGCTTGGGGGGGCTGGTGGCCCCGGAGGACCGGGGGGACCTGGGATCCCTGTTTCTCCTGGCAGTCCTCTCGGTCCTTGAGGTCCCAACAGCCCTGTGCAGAGGCAGGAGAGGATGTGTTAGTGCATTTCAAAATGTGATGATGATGCTACCACATAAAAAGGCAGTAAGACAACGGATTTCTGTCCTGAACTGTAACTGTGGGAGTTAGGGGATGTGGGGGGAAAGAGGAACAGCCTCCCAGTTTTCCATTGCTTGCCTTTAGCATCTTCCTCTGCAAAGCAGATTAGCTTTACTTGGCTTAAAGGTGCTGCAGAGCTCAACTCCTGAAAGGGCAGAATCTCCCCCCTCCCTTAGGCTGAGAAAGAAGCTAAAGGCAGTGAGGAGTGAAATCAAGCGCCGCTCTTTCCCTTCGCCTCCAGTACACCTGTGTGTCACCTCACTGCCAGGAAAGCACAGGGAGAACAATGGAAACCCCGTCAGCCCAGCAGCAGGCTGGTTCTGCTTCCTGTGGGGCTGGAAGGCTCTCGCTGCAAACTGAGAAACCAAAAGGCAGACACATCCTTGGCCAGACTTTACCCGTTGACAGGTTGCCAGAAAACACCAAAAAGCATTCAGGGCCACGCTCACATTGAAGGCGTGCTCCAAGGTTCAGAGCTTTCCTGAGCTCAGATGTACAAGACACAGCCTTTCAGACACACAGAAAGCACAGAGCTTGAGCTCTGGCACCTATTGTGTAGTATCACCCTCAGCAATAGGTTTAGGCACATTTTGGGGGTGAAGGAAGTCTCCCAGCTTGGCCTTGTAACCTTTTTCCTTAACATACAAAAGCATCATTCGACATCCTGGCATCTGCCAGCTTGACACAAATAGTGGAGAAAAAGGGAGTTCAAACAGGCACACAGTGACACAGTTAAACAGGGAATGCTCTTCAAAGATCAGAGACTGGTTTTTATGGGGAAACATGATCCTGGCTCTGCAGCTTTTGGGACAAGCTCTCTCCAGCTCCACAGGAAACCCCAGGGACTGTCATTGCTCTTGCAGGTGGTTGCCCACTCTGAGAGCTGCTGGTTAATTTCAGTACCCAGGGGACTCCTTGGAAGGGATTCAATACCAACTGGAGATGTTCAACACCTTGTGTGTCCAGCCTTGTATACCTCTTGTCACAGGTAACGTGTATAAAGTGAAACATCTCTCATCATGGCAGCACTGTCCCCTCCTCCAGGACTTACCTGGTGGCCCTGCTGGGCCCCTCTCACCAGGTTGTCCCTTCTCTCCTTTTGGTCCTGGTGGTCCTGGAAGACCAGTTGGTCCAACTGGGCCTGGAGGTCCAACCTGTCCCGGCAGCCCTGAACGCATTCACAAAGGAAATTAGTTGGAGGTTAGGACACTGCTGAGCTCAGAAGGTCTTCAGCAACCTCGAAACCAGAGAGACTCAAAGACGCAAGGGTGAGAAATGCAGCTTTGCACAGACAAGGGGGTGCTGTTGACAAGTGCTGGCTGGTGCGTAGGGTAGAAGAGCCAGGCTGGACCTTGCTTCTCCTCTTCTTCCTCCAGTCTTTAATGAAACAAGCAGGTCCCCACACACAAGGCCCACCCCAAACAGCCAGCAGGATGTGGCACATCCAGCTTGGATGGGCTGCTCAAAGCTAAACTGAGCCACACTGTCCCCTTCCCAAGGTCAGGGTGGCTCTGGACAGGGTCTGGCTGGTCCCTCAAGCGCTCCTTTGCGAGCTTCCTCCAGCTCCACGTGTCAGCTCCACAGGAGTGCCAATGCAGTTAAATACACAAAACATCTTTGCAAAAGGAAATCAAACCCCTTCTCCCCCTCGCTCCATACAAACCACCCAGAGATTCTGCATCAAAGACGTTTCCCTGTTTTCAGCTGATTTCATTCATCTAACAAGTGCACCATGCTGTGCACAAGCATTTTTTGTTCCACACTAACATTAATGCACCCACACTACTGAACTAACTAGATGTTATTAATTTATATCAAAGAATAGGGTGCTGAGCAGCCCCATCTGGAAGTACCAGTAACAATAATTACAGCCCAGCAGGATGCTTCTTGGCAAGTCCACTCAGTCCCCCAGTAAGGTGCAGGCAGTGTTTGTAATAGAAAAGTGACTATTTCTAATGACATGAAATAAAATCTTCCTGTTGGTTTCTTTAGACCAGCAAAATAATAACAACACTTGGCAATTTGGAGAGTGTTTTTCAGAAAACCACTGAGTCCTTGGCTCACAAAAGTAGTAGCTGCTTTGGAAGATAAACACTGCAAACATTAGGGAAGCCTTTAATACCTTAGAGAGGTGGGCGAGTTAGCCTGTCTACTCAGATTAAGTAGTTAATGGTTACAATAAAGGCATTATATATATACTGTCAGAGCCAAGAGAGTCAGAGGTTCCTGGTTTCTGGGCTACCAAAGGACTTTGAGAGCATGGGCAGATGTAAGCTACAAAGCCCGAGGGAAATCTGTCTGAGTGCAGTTCAGTGCACTCAGGTTTCCAGTTTTAGTCTGTACATCACACATAAGCATAACCCACCAGAGTGCAAGTTAAGGTTTAATAACTCTTAAGCGAAGTCCTTCCCCTTCCCTCGTATCAAAAGAGGTTCTGGACTCTCCAAACACAGCAGCAGGAGAACCTGCTGCATGTAGGGGGTAAAGACTGGACAGGAATAGAGGAAGAGAAGGTCAACTGACCCCTTCACAGCTGGAACCAAAGCAACCAGGGTGACATAACAAAAATCGAGGCTCACAGGGTTTGCAACTCCAGCATTTAGATCCAGTTCCACTGTAGGTGTGGGACAGCCCCATGGGCACAAAACCTGTCCCTCCAGACATCCATCCAAACTCTCTGCATGTCTCAGAACACAGCAGTAACCCCCAGTAACAGATGAAAGATTCTACTTCTCTCTTTCTTTCTTTTGCTGTTCTGGAGAGATATCCAAACTATTTTTGCTTACACAAATGAAATCCATCCATCTCTAAGCCATGGTGGAACTGGGCAGAGTGAAGAAATGGAACTTTCCAAAGGCTTTGCATGGAAGCATGTGTCTGTACTTTTGTTTCATTGAGCCATCAGTAAAGATGTGATCTGGGTACTGAACAAGGAATTAAGGTAAGGTTTTAATTTGGATCAATTTGCTTATCCACAGGAGACAAACTGCAGACTTGCCTGTGAATAGATGGGCTCCTATAATGGATATCACCTGACAGCGGATGCTGCGCTTGGCAAGCTCAGGCAGATGATCAGGAGCCCATTTCAGAGAGCAAGAGCATTGCAAACAGCTCCCCCCCCCCCCCCCCCCCCCCAAAGCTCCCTACAACACATCTGAAGCTTTACTGCAGCAAATCCTTTCCAGCATGGATGAAAGAATAGCAGAAACACTGTCCTGCAACCACACACCGTCCTGCTCAGTGTGGCTCAAAACATCTCCTTGCTTGTATAAATCAGCCTCAATCCTTCAGTTCAAGCGTTGTAACTCAGCGCTCAGAACTTCTGCAGACCAAGAGCAATCACTTGCTGCCAGCATCCTCAATCACGCTGCTGCAGTGGAGCTTTAAAGAAACTGGCACTTGCTTCCCTGAAGGTGGAAAGTGCTCAAGGAAAGGCTGGGAGAAGCAGCACCGAGTAATGTGTCAGGCAAATGATCATACTGGTGACAAACGGTGTTACCAGCATCAAAGAGACAAGTGCAAAAGGAAGAAGAAAGAGAGGATTCACAGGGAAGAGGGGAGGGAAATGAACAGGCCAAATCTTCAGCTGCCATAGATCAGCTCTGCTGCAGTGACATCGTTCTCAGAGCGCTGATGCCCATGGCATGTATTTACCTTCCAAAAATATGAAGCAAAAGGCCACAGGAAAAATAAATAACCCCCAAAAGGTAAAGGGCCAGTATTCTACTGCTGGAGACCAAATGTGACATGAAGGGACCCGATTTTCTTCCTGGCCTTCATTAACCTGCAACACACCATCTGTTCCCTTTCCTTCCCCGAGGTTTTCCGTGTACAGGAGCAGGGTATTCTCTGTTTCTATGGAGCTTGGCAAAACGATGCCCTGACTGTCACCAGCAGCAAATGGTGCCCCGGCAGGCAGCACCAGCATGATAACAACAGTGGTAGTGTCTCCCATCACTCAGCACATGCTCTGATCGCTCTCGCCACGTGCCCTCCAGTGAACTGCCCCTCACCAGGCAGCACTTCCCATCCCCGGTGTGCTGGGGGAACTCCATGTCTCCAAGATGCTCAAGCTGGCATTTCACCCCTTCAACCAGAGCAGCCCATGAGCAGATAAACCCCAAAGAATAAACCCAGCCCCTCTGCATCCATGAGGCTCCGAATCATGGAGGACTCCTGGCCACAGGATCTCTCTGCTTTCTGGAACAACTCACGTACAGGACTGGGCATTAGGAACGCTTTGTGTTTTGAAAGGTGAAAGAGCAGAACCCATTTACTTACCCTGTGGTATTAGCTGCTCCTGTGCACCTCTGTGTCCTTTAGGCTCTAGTTAAAAAGATCAGGGTAAAAAAAAACAACAACAAACAAAACAGATATGAAAAATTAGTTCTCTCGCTGCCAACTGGCTCAGCCACAGTGTGTATATATATGTATGTGTATTTGCTTAATACTCAGTAGAATGTATCCTGTTGATTAACAAGCTGGTCAGAAAGTCCAGTGGTGCAGCTGTCTCAACAGCTCTGATTGCTTTTAAATGATTGTCTGTTCTCAGCCCTGTCATTCACAGAAGAAATCACTGCCCTAATAAGCAGTAGCAAGTTTTCCTGGAGCTCAGCCTGGAGAGGCAAGAGCCAACCCCGAGCTATAAGGTCATCCAGAAACACTCCCGCCATTTAAAGCATCTCAGTCTGTATCACCCATCTTTGTGTTAGGCACTTTATTTCCTCCAGTTGAGGAGCTCTGTGGCACACAAGCTAGGATTTGGATTTGCTTTGGCTGAAAAACTAGCAACAGGGCAAAAAAAGTGATACTTCACAACAAACCTGTGGGAAGGGGATGCGAGGGACCAAGTTTTAGCTTTCCACAGCCCCAAATCACACTGGACACTCTGGTTTGATTTCCACCTACTCTAATATCAACTTGTTGAAAGATGTGAGATCTGCAGCCTTGGTAAGTGAACCTGGGAGCAGCTCTGAGCAACATGTCACAGCACAGTGTTGAAATGATGCAAAACGGGCAGGGCCCCACCATCCTAAACCAACTGTGTGGAATTCCCTACATGTCAGCAAAACCCGCAGTACATTTTTTTGGCTATAAATATAAACTGGTGTGAGGAGGGAAAGAAGCCAAATGTGGCCCCCAATCCATGCAACATCCCCACAGCTCCTTAGCACAGCAAGCATTTGAAGTCCACAGAACTTGTGTAGGGGCTGCAGTAGCCCATCATGTCAATGAGCAACTTAACTGATTACTTCTAATTGCTGAGAGACACTGTCCTGACTTGAAACGGTCCAGTGCATTCCTGATTCCCAGTTATTACACCAGAATTGTTATCCCACACTAGGTTAAACAAATCAAGGCTAGAAAAACAAAAGGTACAGTGAGCAAGGACTACACCGGGCACATGGGCACAGCCTGGAAGTCTGGCTGACAGGACACTCATGTACAGCATCTTCATCTCCTGCTTTCTGGAGGGGATCACCTCACTGCAGGGTTGGAGGGTGCTGATAGCAGGCTATGGAGTCAGCCTGATGCAAGTGCTGCAGGAGGTCACTTCTGGTCTGCAGCATTGCCAAAAGCCTGGGTGAGCAGCATCCACTGCTCCTTGCTGAGCAGGAGGAGAGTATCATGTGTACAGAGCCTCTGAGAGGAGAGGGCTTTGAGTGGGACAGAGTCATCAGTGCTTTTGCTGGACTGACTTCAGTACAATCAAGTGCAGGTGCAGAGATACTGCGACAGCAAAAATAAATGACATGGAGAAGGCAGAATGAGCATATAATGGACACTGGGGAAACTGCTTTAATTCAGCTCCTGGCAGCTACCACTGTGGTTCTGAAAATACTCTGCAGAACATATTGTTAGTGAACCTCCCTCCATGTTGTGGCATCCTGTCAAATTATAAACATGGACCACATCTGGTCTATGTTGGTTGCTCCAAGTCTGCTGCAGTCATGAAGGGCTGCCATAATAAACTGCTAGGACTAAGAAAAGGAAGAAAAAAGCAAAGTAGGCCCTACAGAGGATAAAGAGCTAAAGAACTGCTCTGGGAGCAAGCACAGCAACTGACAGACAGGGCTTTGGAAGCAGAGAGCAGGGATCTTGCAAAGAGAATGCCACAGTCAAGGAAATTTGATGTGTGGGGATCTGTCTAGCCAAGTGGGCTCAGAGGGAGATTTGCTTCTAAGTGTATTTTTTTGTCATGCCACAAGAGGGATCATAAAACAGCCCATTGTTTTTATGGCAAATGTGAAAAATAGAACGCAGGCTGCAAGTGATGCTGCTATTCATGGGAATGATTCTTGTCCCAGTAAAAGCAAGAATTACCCCCACACCACTCCCAGACAGGGACACGCTGCATTCGGTGCTTGGTAGGTGACTATAAATCCTCCCCCGTGATCCTGATGGCTGTCTGGAGTTTGCTCAGGAATGTTTCTGTCTATCCAGACCTCAAAATCCACAGTTTTTGGGCTTAGAAACATGTACACTGAAACACACAGGCAGGCACAGTGGCCCTACTGAGGTTACCAGAAATCTGACTTTCTGGAGACCAGAACTGAGCTTTCAGTAGATGCTTGTGCCAACAGAAACTGAGGTTAGCAACAGGTTGTTAAAGTTGGCAAAATGGAGTTTAACATGTTAGTTTCTGAGCTTAGCTGCTTTCTTCCAGGAACTCTGTTGCTGCCTTAACTCAAGAAGGGGCAAGAGACACAGATAGAAAAGCACAAAGACCCTCTCCTCTCAAAGGATCCTCACTCCTGCAAGCAGCGGGAAGGGGCCCTAAGGACATCACATCCAGTTTGCTGCAGCTGGAAGGATGGTTCAAGGTGGGATATGGTTCAAGGTGGGATCAGAGGGCACTGAATTCCTCCCTTGTCCACGAGTCCACATAGGTGTTGGTGTGGGACTGCCTCTGCATTCACAGCTTGGCAGAGAAGAAGAGACAAGAAGCAATGAGAGGTGGAACTGGATGAGCTTTAAGGTCCCTTCCAACCCAAACCAGTCTGTGACTGTGACAGTGCAGAGGTAAGGAGCTGCCAGTGCTTCCCTCTAACTCCTCTCCCCCTGTGGCTTCCAATACTACAGCAGACTGACATGGCCTCCTTTCAGTTACCCTACAGGAATCATGTACGTAGGGTGGGTGATGCGGTGAAGAGCAGGTTAGGCTTACCAACAGATCCCACTGTTTTTCTCAGGACAGCTCCAGGATTCAGCAGGGGAAAGGCATCTGGTAGCAAATCATCATACCATGTGGCTGTCGTCCCAGTGATGGGCAGGTTGTTTTCCAATGGTGGGCTTCGCTCCACAGCCTCGAGCAGAAGGATCTATATTGGGGACATAGAGAAGGCAAACAAGGTCAGTGGGATGGATGGTTTCATACACGGTCTTACTCCTGAAGAGGTCTTGAAACTCCTCCCCTTGCCAGCAGGAGCTGTGAGCAACTGCGTCATGGACAGGGATTTGGTGTTAAAGCTTTACTGGTTTTCCAGAAAGCGGCAGTGATCAGGGTAGGAAGCTGCTGTGTTCAGTTGCAAGAGGATCCCACACACCCCCTCCTTGGAGAGGGCTTCACTGCTTCCAGATTCATCCTCGTGTGGGACTGGGCACTGTCCCTCTGACTGTCTCTCAGCACTTCACTGCTGGGTTATGTGTTCAAATCCAGAGTCATAAACTACTGAGAGCTGGTGCAAGGTGAAGGGCTGTGCCCTGGATATCCAGGTGCCTCAGAACAAGTACTGCTTGCAAGTCAAAGCACAAGTGCTGACCAAATTAAAGATGATGGAGAATATGAAGCTTTTAAAGATCTTGGGTGCTTTAACTTTGGGTTAAACAAACAAAAAGGCAGCTAATTCCCTCAAACAGCTCTACTTAGATATAACAGGATTTTATTAAACCTCACAATGGTTTCTGTACTTTGTAAACACACTACCTTCAAATAAATCCACAGCCCAGTGTGCATCCCTGAGCTATCCGGGCCATTTTCAACCCAAGCTCCTTGGCAAAGTAACCCCATTACATTACATTTACTGCTGTCCCTCAGGCTGCACTGCCGCGGGCACCGGTGGCCTGTATGAAACTGGAAGTTAGTCTTTAACATGGCTGCAAAAAACCTAAATGCCCACAAGAAGCAGAGGGCTGGGGAAGTGAAGCGCAGGGGAACGCTCACTGCGCTTTATACACAACATTGCTGGTTAAAGCTCTCACCAAATTAGGACTTTTAAAAGAAAGAGATACTTTCTCTTATAATCTAAATGCTTCATTTCTCTGCCTTCCCAGCCACTAAGCATGGGTGGCAAAACAAAGTGGTCCACAGAGTTCTTTCAAAAAGCCTAACCCATCGGAGCACTGATGGAATGCCAAGCCCATGTGCTCTGTTGCACAGGGGTTTTACCCCAATTGCTAGACAGAAGCCAGAGACTAAGGGCAGCACCCACTATGCCAGTGGCAGCAGCCGTGCCCGAGAAGCAGCAGCAACCCTGCCACTTACCTGGCAGCTGGCTCAATCCCTAGCAAAGCTGCTTGCTCAGGATGGCTGCAGGATGCCCATCAGGCAGAAGCAGGGCCGAGGTTTCCAGAACAAGAGTTTTGATCCAGGCATCCAGCATCTCCTGCAAAATCTGCTTTCTAAGCACAAAGGTACAGGGGGGGAAATTGAGGCGTGCAGCACTGTGGTTTGTTACAGCACTGTCTCTTCCTGTTTTGAAACCACCTAAGCAAATACTGATTTAGGGATAAGGGAAATAAAAGAGAATGTGGCTCAAACTTTCCACTAAATCCCTAGAAGTTTCAGCTTTTACATGCTGTGTTGTCTTTACATAATGAAGTCACATTGCAATTATAAGTGAGAGTGACTTGGCTCTGCTTGTTTGTTTTTTAACTTGCAATTATTACAAGGTTTATCACTTATTTATTACAAGAGATGGTGAGAGCCAGCATTGCAGCAGCGCCAGAAATGATCAACTTCCTGCAGAATGTACTGGCCTGACAGGGGTGAATCAGAAACTAATTAAACTGGGAGCTGGGTTAAGTGCGAGGGAACTGAACCTCAGCTGTTGCAAGCAAGCAAAGTTCTTCCTTTATTACAAGGATCTTTATTGATGGACCCAGAGCTTTGCTTTCAGAATAATAAGAAAGGAAAAAGGAATCAGGTCACAATGCTTTTATTCAATGGGCTTCCCTGACGCCAGGCAAGGAAGGAATGGGTTCAGTCTGGCTCGTGCACTTCTGTGCTTCTACCCAATGATTTATTTGTCAGACTTCCAAGGAATATGCCATCAGTTCAACAAACACTTAAGCGCGTGCCTTACCATAATCGTGCTCAATTCCCATTGACATGGGACTCAAGTGTGCATTGAAGACCTTTTCTGAATCGCTTTACACTGTTATATTATCCCCTTGCTTCCCCAGCAAAACATGTGGCTGTTGCCAAAGTATATTCAGCAAAGGAGGTAAAACTAATCCTGGAGGTGGCAAATTGGAGGAGCTAAAGCCAGAGCAGGGTTAGGATGCTCCTTCTGCAACGAAGGGACCGACAAGGGCTGTCCTGGACAGTGTTCTGCTGCAGCCCAGCAGCGTTGTGGGAAGAGGTGATATTAAATCCATAGCAGCAGTGGTCAGAGAGCAGCAAACCGCAGGGGTCCATGGCCCTCCCGGGTGGTGCAAGTGGCTCGAGCACAGCTCTGAAGGTTGCATCTGGGGTGGAACAGCTCCAAATCATTTTTATGGGCGATAATAAAAACGTGTTACCACATAATCAACACAAAACAGTGGCAACGGTTTCCTTTTCATTAAAACAACATGTTTTAAACGAGAGCTCTGCTGATAAAGGCTGTAAAAGATTTAAAGGCATGCATGGAATAACCCAGGATGCTTTTTTCTAAATGGACTATATATACTTAGGAGTCATTAAGGCTCAAACCATAGCAACAAGTTTATTTTCCCTGGGCACAAAATGATAGAGGTCAGGAAGTCTCAGACTTGAAATTGCTGAGAAATTCTAGTTATGATTAGGACTGAAGAGGTGCCCAAAAGAAATAAAGCAGAAAGAAGAGAGCTCTCATGTCCGTGAGCTCCACAGAGCCAAACTAAAGAAGGAAAAGCACAAAGGATTTAGTCCCATTCAGAATCTCAAACTCTTTCAACAAGAGTGTCCTCTCCTAAGCCTGCCCTGCACAAAGCACAGACGGAGTCCTTCCACGTTACTGCAATAGCACTGGAGCCATTCATCTACTTTGTCACGTTCTGTTTTTCTTAAGGCTGCCATTGCTGGAGTCAAGGGACTCGAGGAGAATTCCCACTTTCGTTAAACAAAAAAAGAAAATCTTTGGCCCTCTGAGTAAACTGCTGGAAAATGATCCCACAGAGGCTCACAGCCAGGAAGCAAATTAGCAAAACGTGCAACGTATTAAAGGCTCAGCCTTGGTAAATTCTAGTCAATAAGGTTGAGGTAGAGAGAGGGACAACACCAAGTGAAGAGGAACGTATGCTTTTGATTGGAAATCCTCATTGCAAGCAGTGCCCACCTCTGCTGCTATGACCACTTCCAATGCAAAAGTCATGCCTCCGGGAAGGATGGAGGCAGAAAACATCCTAACACCATCAGATAGATGAAGTATGTCTTCACGCCATGGGGAATGTCGGTCATGCCAGCAACCACAGCAGGTTCAGAGAGCTAGCTGGAGGGCAGATCTCTGCAGAAGACATGGAGACCTTCCCTCCGCAGCTTGTGCTGTGCTGCACAAGGTGAAAGATGGCCTCAACTCAGCGAAACACTCAGGCTTTTGTCTTTTTGCACATATGGAAGCATAAAGTCAAATCTGAGCCTAAATGGACATGCTGAACTAGAGCCTCTGGCAACAGAGGTCCCGCCGGCATGAGGGCTTGTCTCTGGTTTCCAGACCCCACCTCTCAGACGCAGCTGAACCGGGTCAGAAAGCTGGAAAGGACTGAAATGGGGCCACATCTCCTGCCAACACCGCAGCGGGAGACGGGCCCAGGGTAGGAGATGGCGTGTGAAGGCGAAGGGAAGGCGGGAGGGATGATGCACTGCCCTGGCCAAGGAGCTCGCAGGCCAGCGCCAGCGGTCACTGCCTGCACAACTCAGCCCGGGGCCCGCCGAGAGCCGCGCTCACCTCTGTACAGGGTCTGGCGCTTGCTCTTCTCCCGTGGCTCCAAGCCTGGCTCTTCACTGTGGGGCCCGCTCACGCGCAGGGCCCTCAGCAGGGACATTAGTGTTATGTGCCTGAAGCTCGGTCCCAGCTTACTCAACCCACCTCCCCCTTTTCTATTTGCCAGCATAAACTTTCTGAACTTCAGACACATACCACATTTCTTATGTCAGATCAAAAGCTCAGGCCAGGGACGATGGAAACAGGAGGAAGGTTTTCATCTTCTTGAGATGTTCAGTGTCAGAGGACTTTTTTTGGCTTGTAGTGGCTTTCAAGAACCCTATTTTGGTTGTTCCCACACATCAAAAGAAGATTTCACAAACACAGCCTCCTCCCATCATCTGTCCTCTGCTCACATTCCTGATGTCCTGTAACTAGTAGGTGCTAGAAACAAGGAAAGAACAGCCAGGCTTCCAAAGATTTCAAAACTGATAGAACAGGGTTCAGAATGCTTTTTCGTTGGATAAAAATCCATGGAAATGCAGGGGGAATCATTTGACACAATCCAGATGGATATTATTAATTAATAAACAGGGGATATCTGGTCTCTTGAAGCATTGATGGAATTAACTTCCTTCCATCCTTTTCTAAAGAGGAGGGAAAGAAACTGCATGAACCCAGCTCATCAGCTAAAAATTCCAGTGTAAAATAAGATTCCTTCAATCCTGTAAAGACGTAAGCTGATTAATAATGGTAATTGCATAACTTGTTGGACATATCTTTCTTTATAGCAAATTATTTGGCAAAATACAAGTTTTTAAATCATTCATCAAGACACAGCTAAACAGGGAGTTTCACAAAACCTGATGGAGAATGGTATCTCTCTTGTAGCAACATGAAACCTGTGAACCCAAGGCTCCAATGCAGATGCAATTGCTTGGTTTCAAAAGCCAAAATACATTCAGTAAGTGTCCACTAAAATCCGATGAACTGGGTGCCCAGAGAGAACCTCGGTGACTTCATCCTTACAACATCTTAGACGTTTGGCCAAAGGGGACAAGATAATTAGTGCATGGAGGAGTTTTGGCTATACTGATAAATGATGGAGGGAGCAATAGCTGATCTCATTGTAGTGACCCAATTTAGACCAAAAGGTAAGGTTTATGTCACCAGTTATTGCAAGGAAGACAGAAATGTGGACCAAAGGCTTCTACAAG